AGATTCTATGAGAACTCAAAATTATGAGTTAGAGGTAATCATTCTGCACCCAATTTCATCATGTGGTTATTCGATAAGGGCCTAAATAATGAAAAATCCTGTCCACCGAGTGGTCTCGGCTACTTTAGAAGCAAAGTAGTTTTGAATCTTCTAATTACGATATTCGTAGTCAGCACCCTTAAATCTACAATTACATCAGCATTTGGCTCGTGAAAAAACAAATTCTTTTTTCGATGATACTTGAGGGGTACGCTAGGCAAAAAAAACGCCAATGTCGATTTTCAGGAAACAAAGTTAAAAAAAGTGACCGAGAATGATCCCTGATTAATAACTGATAAAAATAATTCAAATCTGAGGAAGGGGGGGGGCACAAAACAGCCTTATCCACTCTCCTCCTTTACTTTTTTCGGAAATTTGAACATATCTGGAGAAAGGAATGCGAACGAACGACAACCGAGCAGAGAAAGCACAAACGGAAAAAAGAGTGTACCTTATTTTTTGATTAGCGGCGAATCAGCTACACGATACAACACCCCACCCTAGATTATGAGGTGGCGCATAAACTAACCAAAAGGAAACATCATTCGTTAAAAGAAGAGAACATCTGTTCTTCGTGGTTGTGGGGTGTGGGTGTGAGCATCGGCATGCATGAAGAATAAACCCACACCCACACCTTCACAAGAATACAGGTGGATTATTACCAATCAGCGATTTCTGATCGACTAGTCAAGATCAAAATGTTGCAGTAAGAAATCAAGCGCGCACGGTATATGATTTGTCAAACTCGAACTAACAAGTGATAACGATCCAGACTTAGTTCGTCTTACCTATTCTATACGATGCTTAGTAATTTCAGAAAAAATGAGTCATACACACATTGGTAGTCTTGTGCTTCTAGTGGTGATTATGGATGAAAGTGAACTAGGAACAGAAATTTTAGAAGCAGTACTCAAAACGCAGATTGGTCCACTTGAACGCTTTAAATTATACCTTATATTAGGAACACTATATACTCATGTGAAAGATATAAAAAATTCTTCGCTTTTTACCGATAGGCTTAATTGGAACTATCTACGCTTCGTTGGGTGAACTTTGCTTGATCCAAGGAAAATATGAACTCGCTATCGTTAACATAGAAATAGCAGTTGGTATCGAGCAACGCTGTCTTGCTAAACCTGATGAAAGACAACTTGCACAATATTATCATATTATGGGTCAGATTCATGCAAATTTATGCAATAATAATGAAGCTCTTACTTATCATGAGCTCGCAATCAAGATTGGCACACACTAGTATCCACGCAAACATCCGTTTCTGGGAAAATGTCTGATTAGTAAAAGCATTATTCTTTGTCACGAAAATCGGTTGGGACAAGCATCCTTGAACATGATAGAAAGTGGAGAAATTCTGAACAACTCATTAGCAGCTACTCATCGGATTCAACCTGCTATTCATATGATGAATACACTCAATGCTTTGGCGAGTTATCAGAAGGCATTAGAGTGTTCTCACCAGGAAAAGTCACCAAGTCATCCGAGTAATATTTCTATCCATTGTGCTATAGCTTCAGTTTATATACAGCAACAGTAATTTGATAAGGCATGGCCTTCAATACATGAATGTTTTGAAATTATAGAAGTATCTAATTTGCAGAATGATGCCGATGCGTGCTTAACATATTCAATGGTAGGTCATCTGCTTGAAGAACAAAGAAATCCATCGGCATTATCATATTATGAGCACGCATTAGAGACTGGGCTGAAATGTCAGTCACCAGCACATCCTATGAATTTACTAATCCGGCAAGGAATAAATCCACTCAGAATATGTGATTAAAAGACAATTAAATTTTTCTTCTGATCTTTGACTCATAAATGCAACATAAACAAATTACACTTTATATATGTATTTATGAAAATTTTTTCGATTCTTTAAATTCTTTTCCTAAAGTTTATTGGTAAACATGTTCTGTTAGGATAAAGACATTGTTAAAAATTGATATACGCGAATATAAATGCTTACTGCGTAAGCTATGGAATAGTCAAACGAAAAATTGTAAAATGAATTACTCCAACAATTTGCTGGTTGACCTGCAATATTTCCCCAAGAGCGCATATCATTTCGAGCAATTGAAAAGTATATTGTTTTTTTTTGTAATTATAAACCAGAAAAACTGAGGAAGAGCAGAATGAAAAAAATTTACATACAAGGTTTTTTTACATTTAATGTTAATTACCTTGAAATATTTATAATGTTAAGCATGCGTATATTAAATAGACGAAAAAGTGACGTCCACAGAAACACATTAATAAAATGATGGTTTCTATATTCAACATCAACATTTATTTTTTATTGCTTTTTAAATTAACTCTATATCAAGTTATACTAACTTGCTTGTCTAATCCAATATTTAATGACGAAGTTTTATTCTTATTCGAACATCTAATCAATACATATCGAACTTATTTTGTTTTTATGAAAACAAGAATAAAATATAAATTCGATACGGACAACTAGTTTTTTTTTCATTGATTGATTAAATATAAATTTTTTTTCCTGTTTTTTTTAGTGAAAACAAAAATGGCGAATCTTACAGAAATGTTAACAAATTCTCAAGTAGGATATTCACATGAATCAGATGCTGCTAGCTCTGTGGACGCTTTGAGCATCACTTACTGTGACGACACAGCAACAACCAAATCACCAGTTCAACCAGAATCAGCACAAACTAGTAAATTACTTTGGATTAGATTTATTCTTTTGTTTGCATATTTTGATTGTTTTCTTGGAATGATATTTTACCGATTCTTATCTGTAGGCAATCATTCTCATATTAAGTTGTGAGTTCGTTTTCTTTTAAAGGTGTACGCTGTCATTCTTGTTCTTCACATTGCCACAGTTTTCCATATGAACCAACGACGAGAAGTAAGTAAACATGTTTTGAAATTGGAATAAAAACCTTTTCACGTACTATGACTTTTGAACAAAACAGTCGAATTTGATTTCACATTATAAATCATTGCTGTCATGATATCCTTATTGACTAGATGTTCTCATATGTTGTACATCAAATAGCAGCTTGTAGAAACCTCTAATGAACGTTATTTTCCTCTTCTCTTTTTGCAAAACTGAGCAAATTTTCGAAATAATTATGAAAACATTTGAGTAGCAGCCGACCAAACTGTCTAAAACGAGAAATGACATGATTATTGTTGAATATTTCTTTTGCAGTTGATGATCGTCTACGTGAAATAACTCTCAAATATGAAATTCGACAAGAACTTGGTGAACATCTGCGCTGACTTGAAGACTATGAAATAATCGTTGTTTGTGATGATTCGGGTTCAATGAAAACGACGGTTGATGGAACAAACCGTACAAGATGGGATGAACTTTGTCAGATTGTGAAAATTATTTTAGAAATCGCTGTTGTTTTTGATTCATCTGGGGTGGATCTTTTTTTTTCTCAATCGAAGGTCATTTAGCAATGTCAAAGACCCTCAAACAGTCAATCAAATATTTTCCAATCCACCACGTGGTTATACACCACTAGTGTCAGCTCTTCAAAGCATTTTTCAGTTGCCAGCAACTCGTCGAGGTTACGATAAAAAGGTTCTTGTTTTTATTGCTACCGATGGAGCACCTACCGATGACTATGGAAATATTAATGTTCAAGATCTTGAACACGTAATGAATGTAGTACGCCAAATAGAAACAACTCATGTCATGTTTCTAATATGTACTGATGATTCAACTTGTGTTGACTATTTAAATGAATGGAAAAATACTATGGCAAATGTAGATGTTACAGATGATTATAGAACTGAAAGGGACAAAGCACAAAGAAAATATGGATTAAATGCTCCGTTTTCAATTGGAGATTATATTGTTAAAGCATTGGTTGGTGCTATTGATCCGAATTTAAAAGCTATTTAACGGATATAACGAAATTAATAATTGTTACGAATACTTATTTTTTATACAAACGAATCTTTTTTTATTCATTGTCTCATATCCAATAGTTTTTGCTCGCTCTAGATAGATTTTTCATTCTAGAAAACGCTAATCCGTGAGCACTATATTTTATTCCAACATGAAACGAAAGAACGATACACACATTAAGCAAGATATTTTGTTTGATCACTGAAGTTTCTTTTCTTTTTATTAAACTACACGAACACAATTAGTCAATTCAATTCTTGTAGACTTCGCAGTTTTTAAGCCAAATAGGCACGTGTGCTTGTTCATATCGAAAAACAATTATGTACGATAAGAATGAAGCGACATCATATGTATCGCTAGGACTATTAAATATGGGTAAAGTTTTGCTTTGCTGTTTTACGTTAGAAAAGAGATAATTTTATGAGTAGCAAAATTCAAAACAAAAACGGTGTGAGTGTGGCTATGCTTCTGGATGTCATGAAACAGTAACGATCTAACCTCGCAACCACACCCTCAGACGTTTCTATGTATATCTTTTGCAGAAGATTTTGATGAATCCGATTAAAATAGTAAGAATATTTGACCAAAAACCTAGAGCCGGGTTTCTCAGACACCCGGCATATGAGAGAAATATTCTCTAGTCGCTGCAATAAAGTTTTTCCGCACGTTATATTTGAAGTTAACAATAACATAGCTAACAAGGGAAAAAGAAAAACAAATATGACACAAGAATATTTCTTATCAACTCTCCTGATCATCAGTCGCATTGTTTGCACTGTTATCAGTTGTCAGTTGTTAAGTTAAGTAAAGCAATACTGAAAAAAAAGGTCTCAATGAGCTATATACATTTCAAAAGTAAAGGTGGGTAAGCTATTTTAGAGAATAAGTTTCTATAGGAATATGACAAGTATTTTTTTTAAGTTTAGGCTTTTTAATCGGTTTCGAACGTGGATTTATCATCGAAAAATCAGAAAAAAAGTCTATTTTAGGTTAAAACCTGACTGGAATGCGTAGTAAAATCTTAATAACTTGAGATCATCTGAAATTTTTCGATATCAGGGTTACGCATATCAAATAAACTTTAGTTAACGGTTCTAGTATATAACTGCAAGTTAAAATTTCAAAGCGTTTACACTATACGATGTCTCGCATTTAAGAAACTTGATAGGTGACACTAAGAAAATCTATGAGAAAAATCGGATATTTATGATTCGATACTCATTCATCTTCTATTTTCAATAAAGCATTGAATGACTACTCCGATGTTATAAATGGAATTAATTTTTTTACGCAGAGATAAAATTAAATCTCGTATACTAGTCTTTGTCATACAATAGAACATTTTTTTTCATAGATCATTCAAGACTTTCTGAACATTCCATTCGATTTTCCTCATTAGATGAACTGGTCAATTAAATATTAGTAGAGTAAAAAGAAAACTTCGTACAATGAGAATTATTCTTTTAACTTCTATTGTCAATAATAGGGCATTTCATTAATTGTTGTCGTAACTCAACTATGAAATGACGTCTTCGTTGATTCGTCCATCTTCACCAGCGGGCAATAATTGTCGAATTGCACTTGCTGGAATCGATCTTTGGATCACTCCGCGTATCGATAATGTATTTGTGTATGACACATATTTGGATATTGAGCGACTTAAAGAAGCACTTAGTCGAACTTTAACTGCATGGCCTTTAGTTTGTGGTCAATTTCTTGTGCTTGATGACGAAAATTATGTGATTGAAATGTCCGACAATGCAATTCCATTTTCATTGTGCAACAACACTGAGCTAGCGCGATGGCCGCATGACACAACTGTTGTATTCAACTCTGTTGATGGTCTTCTTCCACCATTTCTTGATGAAGTAAAAAGTGAACAATTATTGAAAAGTTCATCATATGAGCCACTGTTCCGTTTGAAAGTCACTCGTCTCGTGCAAAGTGGTGAATGGGTGATGGGTACAAGTTGGGCGCATGTTCTAGGCGATGCATTTGCTTGCTTGAATTTCTTGCACACTCTTTCTTGCTTCTACCAACAAGTGGAGTGTCCAGTACTGGTTCCTAGTTTCGAACGTCGTTTGTGGCGCTGCGAAGAAGCGGACCAATCACTTTTACCTACTATGAAACATCTATGCGATGCTGTATCGGCTGAGGAGAACCTACGAAAGATAATGAGCGAGGAATTATCTCATGATCAATTGAATATTCATTTCTCAGGCAAACAACTTGGCAGATTACGCACACTTTGTGATGATACATCTCTGACAGTTCACGATATAATGATAGCCTACATTATTCTTACATTGAATACGTCATGTTTTCAAAAGGAAGAAGAAATTATTCGGCACACCAACAATATTGTTAATTATCGTGGTGTGTCTGATTCTATTGCTCCACGTGATCTTATTGGTAATTGTACGTTGAGAATGATATCGGAGAATTTCGAAGATCCTTACTCACTGTCGAGCATAGCTAGATCAATACGTCGTTCGATTCTTCGATCAAGAGATCCACAATTTCTCGAACATTGGCTAGCAACTGCCGATGGCCTCATGAGAAATATGGCACGTAATGGTCTTGAGGTTAATATTGATCATTTTCAGAATGGGATTATAGTCAATTCAAATTTTCGATATGACTGGGCTCGATCTGTCGATTTAGGTCACACGGATAAGTGTGGTTTTCATACTGATGGAACAGCAAATTTATTCTTACGAGTATTTCGTCTCAATCCAATCTATGATGGTACTCAATGGAAGACAAGAGATCGGGAAGGAGCAGAAGTCGCGTTTCGTATTGAAAAGGATATGAAAAAAACATTTCTTGATGTATGGCAACGAGATATTCATGAAAATTTTGTCCATGTTAAAAAATAAAGTTTACGTTGCATTGGCTCGTTAGAAGACAGATATTGTTGAAGTCAATGCTACAGTATTCCATTACTGAAAATAATGAAAGAGAGAAATTTCACAAATAAATGTACTTTTCCATCACGAATAATCTTACAATGATGCATTGGAGTCATTCTTGCTTTTGTTTGTAAACCAGTGGTGTGGGTGTGGGATGAAGGTATATATATATATTAATGCCCTTCATTGATGTTCACAGGCACATCCAGTCCCAACGTTTTATAGAACATACATGTTTAATGCACTTTCCAAGTACATTCTGAATATATTTTTTTTAAACTTTTTCTCACTCGCTTTGGTTAATAAAATATGAAAGGATATTTTTGCAACATTTATTTATTTTGTTTACAAAAAATTACGTAATATGTTACTATTTGTGCAATTTTATTTCAATCCAATTGATAATAATCGAAGCTGTGATGCTATCCGTATGGTCTGCTAGTAAAGATTTTGTCAGCTTTATCCGCATATTCCAAAGCTTTCTCTAATCCATTGGATAGTTTTTCATAGGTAACAGCTATATCCATATATATATTCGTGCAATATCAACATGATCCGAAGGCAACACATGCAAATAACTTTCCAGACTATTTTTATAAGTTCCTAGAGCTGCATCCGTTTTACAGCGATATATTCGATTGATGTTCGCTATCTTTTGTTGTGCACGTAATTGATCCGGATGTCCCATCGGTACATATTTATCGAATAGTGCCAATGCATTTCGATAGTATGAAATGGCTTGTCGACATTTTCGTTCAATCAGAGAAAGATTTCCTAAGCCAATGAGGCGATGCCCCTTGCAGACATGAGCTAAATCTGTAATATCATCGAAGTCATCGTTCTACGCTTGTTTAAACATTTTTAACACTTGAGTGTATGATTTGAATCATTTCATATGATAAACCAAAACCAAGGCGAAAAAGAGCGCGTGTTCTATGGCTTGGGCTATCACGAGCTTCCTCATGCGCTTGTCACGAAGGTAAATTGTTTTTCAGTATTACTTCATACTGTAGAATACTTTGTGTATAATTACCTTTCTCATGTGCTCTTCGAGTTAACATATAGAAAGCAGTAAAGCATATTGATGACATTTCGATTTCGAAATATTGGCGACTGGACCGATCTAATAAGAGGATTGAATATTTATCTATCCAATATGTTGATTGCTGATGTTGATCATTATCTTTCATGTCTTCCGATTGATAAAGCAATTCGACCAAATAGTGTAGAATTTGTAGGTAATAATATTCAGCTTGATCGAATTTCCCCGATTGAAATAAAACGATACCAGTATCCGATGAAAAAGTAAAATCTGAGTAAATGAAGGATGTTCGCATGTTGTCATATAATGCGCCAGATCTGCTTTGTTAATATAAAGGATTAGACAAATAATCGACCATTCTCAAGCGAACATACCGTATTTGTTCGTCTCCATAACGTACATCATCTACTTGAAAATATGAACCACTCATAAATAAAACTTTTTTTTCTACTTCACCAAAATAACTTTGTTCAGTAATATCAGCAAATATGTTTCCGTTGAAACTCGAACGCGTGTTGTTTCCTAGACAAATTTCAATTAAAACTGGAACGACTGATGATTCATTAGGACTTTCTGGTTGTCCCAACAAATACAAAGCTAATTTTCGATCGATACAAGTCGAAATAAAAGATTTCACTGAGATAATATTTCCTAATGACTTCCGTATATTATTTAATTCGATTTTTGACATCATTTGACCACGATAATCATAGTATTTAGAGAATAGGTCATGTTGATTTTCTTCTATACAAGGTTTTTCGCATTGCTCTTTTAATTGTTTCTAGAGATTGATAATGAAAAAACGAAGATTAAGAATTATCTTAATATCACCCGTGCGAAGCGATTGATTAAGTAAAGTATAAATAAATGAAGGCTTTGTATACTAAAGCAAATCATTTTCAGGTTTATCAGTTTGTTCAAATTCTTCAATTGTTTTTAATTTTATCAAATCTCAAAAAATCAACAAGAATCGATCAACATTTGAAAATGTATAAAAAGTTTCATTGTTTATTGCTCATCAAAAGTATTGTAAACAAATGGTTCATTTACTTGAGAATATACATTCCAATAACTTTCATCTACGTAAATCCGTTTGGTTTGATGCAAATTATGAATATTGGGGAAGTTCATATTATCAAACAGAAAATTGTTGTTTGCCATGCCTTTGATAACAAGTAAAATATTTTCATTTGAAAGTAATTGTGCCTTGCGTTGATCGCTTAGCAGAAAATAAAATTTATACCACAATGCAAACATAGCAGCGGTAGGACCATTGGGCAGCTGCCCAGGGATATTTTTGAGATGGTACTAACTCTTCCATAACAAAACTCTTCAATGAACATTTTAAGCCAAAGACTTTTGCGATGAAATCCAAATAGTTTATCACTTCCTCGAGCATAAGAAATTAGAGGAAACATATTTTTCAAGGCGTCTTTTTGCATCTTCTACGAAATTAAAGCATTTTCATGCTGACATATTTTGATAAAATACGAGTTTCTAGTATCTACGGTTCAGAAACGACCCAAACCGTATTAATTTGTCGAGTGAACTTTACGTAACTCATACTTCTTCAGACATCAGAGCAAAATATCAATCATCACTGGATTCAATGTTTAATACTTTTCTTTTTTCCTATTACTGCTGAAAGAGTTTTATACATTGGAAGGTATGCGGCGATGAGAATATGTGCGAGCAATGCTTCGCAAATAAATTTATAAGACGCGAAATGGAGCTGATTTGCATCTAGTGTTTCTCGCTTTCAATCCGACACGATTGTACGAAAATCCATGAAAATAAACATCACATCTGATATGTTGACAAACAGCCATTTATCCTGTTTAGTAAATATTACTTCATAACCTGGTGTGGCTTGTCTTTCAGAGAATGTCAGAAATGATTTATCAGCTATGGATGTTCGAGTATATCGTACTTTAGTCTTGTTTGGCGATTCGAATTGTAATGAACGACATACAAATTCAATAAAACTTGCATACGATGCAAGACTTAATGCACTTGAAACTTCTATTTTCGATGTTTTTTGACCACTCAGTGGGTGATATTATTTGCGTTATAGATCGAATTAAGTGTGACTACTAATAGAACTTACAGCATCCTATAGAATTATCTATATTCAGTTTGATTTTCATTACACTTCCAATTAAAAAATCTTTATTATAATAGATGTTCCAATCGATTATGAATTTAGTAAAAGCTGGTCGATTTTAACATTAGTCACTTTACAAAACAATCAACAAAGAATGGGCTGCATTATTAATGGCTAGTTCCTTTTGAAATCATATTATTTAAGAAACTAATTCATTTTAATGCTACGACTCTTTCGTTAGGTTAGTTGACAGTAATTTCGCACTTTTCAATACGATTAATTCACGAAACTGTTCACTATATAACTTCGTTTTGTAAAGTTTCTCTACGTACCTTGTGAGTCTATCCAGCACTTTTGTACCAGTGACGAAAAATTTATTTCTAGTAAATTGTCGTCAATATACCAATGAGAAAAAGTGGCGCATCCATCTAAACACCACGGTTTCTAAAATTGCTCTATCTGCTGCGAGTAATTGTAATGGATTTTGTCTTTCTGCGTCTCGGATCAAGTGCCGATGTTAAATATTTTTGTAATAAAAACTATTCAATTCTCTTCAAAATTGTATGTTCACTGTGGATATCGTTTGCACTTCATTTGAAAACGGAATCTGTATGATGATATGAGGAAATGAATCTCGCCTGCTTCTGCTCTCATTAATTTATATTAAAAACAGTAATTACTTGAGGCAACTCCAGAAATATTCGGAGGACTTCGTAAAAACATGTAAGATTCAATAATCGCTTACATTACACTAGTAATCAGTTAATGTCATATTTAGACCTGAAGATGGTTTATAAGATAATAGATTGAACAAGAAACATATATATCAAGCAGCCTTACCCGGCTGCCAAATATTTACTGAATTTTCTTTTTAGTTGGTAGAAAATAAAATGTTATGCTTCGATTTATATTGATTCGCTTGAAATAAAATAAATAAAACACTCAAATAATAACATCCAAAAAGCTATTCTATGAAGTTAATGCTCTAAAAAATAAATTGAGTCGTGTTGCATTTCTTTTTCTTCACTATTAAACACAGCGCTATATGTAATCGTGTACATGAATCCCGAAATGCAATAGTTTATACCTGTATTCGGCCTTCTAATATTGGAATTTAAAAAAAGTACGCCAACTTTAGAAACTAAGCCAAAAAATCTCAACAAGAAAACATTGAAATTGGTAACAGATAAACTTTGTCGCTTTGCTTGCGACAAAGGGCGAAAGATGCCAGTTTACTCGGCGTAATTGTTCAATCAAACGATAATAATCAAGTGCTCGACAGAGAGTTTTAGGTAAATTTGTTATATGATGATGAAATATTTTCAAAGTGAAGCCTGTGACGTAGAAGTAATAATAATTGAGACCTATTTTATTTCGAATTTATCATGAACTGATTATTTCTTTCAAAAATTTATCCAGTCATTCATGTGAAGGCTGTTACTTTACGTTATATTTTACCTGCTATCGATACCAATGCTATTGATAAATTCAAAAAATTTCTCATTTTATTTTTTGAAGATAATTTGAAAACATAATTAGGTACTCAATTTGGTGGTGCGAGGGTACGTGTATGATTGTACACAAATTCATTCTGGCAATATATTATCATGGTCGTATACGGAGAAATATTGCAGTATTCAATAGCGATCATTTATCAGTGATAGGTTTCTCTCTAGACAATCGGCAAAACTATTGTCGGAATGATATATCTACGAATCAACATGAAAAGCATAATATGTTTTTTTGAAACATGGTGGCTTGTTGAATTATTCTCGTATGATATAGTTTTTTTCTTAAAATTCTGTTCTTGTCGAGGATTACATACACATACAATAACATGATACCATACGAAATGGCAGCCACACTCATTCGCATTCAACGAGACGACAAACATGCTGTCGTCTCTGCCCGACAGATAAATAATATACCGAAGCGTATTTTTGTATAGAAAAAAACCAGACTTTGAATAAATCGAACGATTATAGAGCCACAACGAAGAATATTTTTGATTGATCATGAAACTTCCCAGGAGAATCAGGGTACATCGGAATCGGTCGGAACCGGTGGGTTTCGTTGAATTCCGACGATTTCCTAACTAACGGATTCCGGCCCAGATTTCGTCGGACCATTTCCAATCGATTCCCATCGGTTCCGTCGATTTCCGACGAATTCCGGGTCGAAATTTTGCGGAACTTAACGGAATTTTTCCGGCGGAAACCGGACCGGGATCCGTTAGTCAGGAAATCGTCGGAATTCAACGGAGCCGACCGAAAAGCAACGGAATCCATAGGATCCGATGCCGGAAACGATCGGATCCACTGGTCGGATTGAATCTCCTGGGTTACAAACCCCTTTCAATCTTTCGATAAATAGAACTTCTCCTCGTCAGAAAACGAGTAAACTAAATTGCATTCTGCTGCAGCTTGCATCGATAATGAGATTGTATTACTAAAAAATTACGTAGAAATTAAAATCTGATCTTAATTTCGTTTAGTTTAATCCCGATTATGACAATTGCACCAATTCTTTGTTGAAGTTATGTACTCCTTTGTTTTATATTTTATTCTAGCAGAAGAACTACTTAATCACGACTGAAAAATGTCATCGATGAATCGATCTGATGAATTCAAGCTGATTCGTAACATTCCAGTACGACAATTACCTGTAAATCGATCTGGTATCACTCTGGTTTGGCTCGAAAATGCATTATCTCCATCAGGCAATGAGAGTCAAACTCGATTGCATAGCTTTGCCCACCGATGCTTCATTGTTTATTACTCAAGTATATCGAAATGTATGAAATACTTCAAGCAAGCTCGATCGCGTGAATACGTCATTGCTATTCTTGTACATTATCCTATAGAGACAGTTCAACGTATCATTTATCGATTGCAGCAATATCGTGTTATTCAAACCATGTTGATTATTCCGACTGATAGCGATGAAGATAATCATCTGCCGATAACAAACGATAATCTGCATATTTTTCGAAGTCAACAATCAATGTTTGAAGTTTTAGAAAAACGAATTGAAGAAATCCACACAAACAGTTTGAATGGGGGTTTATTTACAACGTTCTATCGAAAAGAAAAGGCTCTGAAAGATGTTCGAGACGATTTAGCATCATTTGTTTGGTATCATGTATTCAAAGGTTGGTACGTTTAAAGTAGTTACTAACGCTCAATTCTATCACCTATATTTAGTTTTGTTGATGCACATGCCTCATGATTCTCTCGAAGCTAAACGTGAAATGTTGAGTGAGTGCCGAGCTTATTACCGAAATGATGCTGTTCAATTAGATGAAATCGATGATTTTGCACGTAACTATCAATCAAAAGATGCTATCCGTTGGTATACGAAACCTGGATTTTTATTTTATCTAGTTAACAAAGCTTTACGAATTCAAGATATTTGGGCTCTGTATAAATTTCGTTATTTTATTATTGATTTATGCTATCGTTTGGAAGAGGCTTCTAATTCGCAATCTTTTTCGTCCATTCAAGTCTATCGGGGAGCAAAAATCAATCAAGACGAACTCGAACAACTCCAAGTTGGTTGTCTTATAGCAACGAATGGTTTTTTGTCATGCTCCTCCGAATGTAGTGTAGCAGAAATGTTTATTGCAACTGATCAGAATGTTGATAGATCACATCGAGACAAACAGAAACAGTTCGTTTTATTGATCATTGATGTTGATGGCAGATCATCTACGAAACCAGTTATGGCAGATATCAGCCGTGAAAGTCAGTTACCCGATGAAAGTGAAATAATATTTAACTTCGGGTCAACATTTATTATTGATGAAATATATTTTGATAATGATAGATGTATATGGCTGATTAAAATGAGACCGAGTTTGGATAGTATTCAAATCAATCGTGAATACGAGAAATATATTCACATACGTCTCCAAAACATGAATTCAACTATTTTATTCGGTCTGATTTTTTCTAATATTTGCAGTGATTGTTGTCAGTCGATGAGTTACTTTCATCGTTTACTAAGAATATTACCCATCGATCATATCGAACGACCTAATATTTACTATAATTTAGGTCGTATATACCGACTTATTGAGAAATTCGATAAATCTCTTATTTGTTTTCGATGTGCGTTGTTGCTCATTCGTCGCCGGATACCGGAGAGAATATTTGATTATTGTCGTATTCTTGGTGAAATCGGCACTGTTTATTCATATTTAGGAGATTCTGAACGAGCAGTAAACTTGCTCAAGCAAGCTCTAATACTTCAAAAGAAATCATTTGCCGATAATCATACAGAAATTCCATTTCATTTGAATCGTCTTGGGTATGGTTATTTCCAAGCCAAAAAATATGTCGATGCGCTTTCGATTCTCCAAAGTGCTGAGAATTTTTTTCGCACAAAAATGCCTGTTGATCATACAGACTATGGCCAGACTTTACATTCAATGGGTTTAGTATATCGCATGCTCAATGACGACGACAAAGCCTTACTTTCTTTTCAACGGGCATTGCTTCAACGATATTCATTACTTGGCAAAGATCATCCGTCTCTTGCATCGACCTATTATCAACTAAGTCTCATATATAACGATCGTGGTAAATATGAACTTGCACTAGATTACATTCAAAAATGTTTAAATATTCAATTAATCAAGTTACAACACAACCATTCAGAGCTTAAACTGTCGAGAGAACTTCTTCGGCGCATTCAACAACATCATTAAATATATCAGTTATGTGGAACAGTCATTTGTATCCTTGATTTTTATCAAAAACATTATTTTCAATGACTTTAAGAACATAGGTAGCGCCAACTATCCTCTGCTTGACATTTACTACAAACTATTACTGGTTGTTCGAAGCCATCCAATACATGCATTGAAGGAAAAAGAGTATAATTTTTTTCTTTGACCTTGCTTACTGCTGTGTCTCGTGGAAGCAGCAGGAAAACAATCAGAGAATAACACAAAAAAAAACGAAGCTCTTCTATCGATATGTAAATATAGTATTGTTGGCTACAGTGCAGCTTATTGTTAAGATGAAGCAAGCCTTCGTTTAGTTAAAATTGCTAACCAAGGTCAAGCTCTTTTTCGTATTCTTTACTTGTGCAGATTTTCTTATTCCAGGAGCTGATGTACACTAGCAATAATGTACGAGAAAATACTGAAATTGCCTAGTACATGAAAAATATTACTTCTTACAACATTGGCACAAGAATGTGTTGCAAACAATACGAAAATTTCTTCAGTGCGAAGTTTAGTTGTTGTTTTTTCTCTGCCACATTCGATACGAACACATTTATGAATATGAGCAAATATTTTCTCTGCTTTTTATTAACAATTCTGATGCCTGCACAGGATCGAAAAGCTACAAGTGCTATTTTTCTCTCAAAGTTATGTACAGATGATTGGAAGAAAAAATTATTCATCGTCGTAGCGAATGCAAAGAATTACATATTATGTTAATTGCTATTTATAAATGGTTTCCCCCAGGCTGTTCTTTTGTTTTCTCTTCTAATCCGTTTCTCATACAACAAGAATGACCTATTCGCAAAAATACTTGCTCTGATCTTTTCTTGTGATATTCACTGAATATAACAATCAAAGATTGATGAAATATTCATCTCGAATTTCAACTTCAAGTTTTCTGTAGTACCCTACTTTTATGCGTGAAAGAGAATTCAATATCTTGCAAATTTCTTGAGATGGATTCTTCGTGTCAACAAAAATATTCGATTTTCATAGTGATTCATTTTCTCTCTATTTTTCATGCATTACGTGTCGTTGCGATTGATCGTTCTTTCTTTCAGTTCGGCCAATTACTAGAATACTTTACTTCACCTATACACCAATGGAGGCAAAAACGAAGAGTCATTTGATTTCATTTAAAGAGAAAAAGAAGCAATCGTAGGCGACATTTTGTCTCCGTTAAAATAAAAAGTAAATTCAGTTCGTAACTTCGCAGTTCTTGTTAAATTCATTTCTCTAAAATACACTCGAGAAAAGCTTCACTCCAATCAGTCGTCATTTACTATCGATGCTTTTTTCTTCTTGTAATAAATATAGACGATCCGAAACGCCATGTTTTTGTTGATATTATCGCTTTTTTTCTTTCATTTTACGCCTGTGAATATTTGCGTTCTTGTGCAAAAATAAAAAAAATCATATGTTTTGTGAAATGCTTAATTTTCTATGTTCTAGAAATATTCGATTCGCTGAGCATCATTCAGCTAAACATGGGTCAAGATCTGTCATTGGATAAATTGAAAACTCTCGATTTACTTACAGTGAATAATCAACGCTCCAATAATATATTGTCGGCTGAGAGAAAAGAAGATGCTTTTCTGTTTCTACCATTGGAAGTGATTGATGCTATTAGTAAGAATTCGATCTCATCACCTGGTCGTGATCAGAAAAGTTCAATTGAATTTCCTATCACGAAACAAACGTTGAGCAAACAAATTCGACAGGATCTATTTTTGCTAACAAATTCATCTGCCGTAGATGAATTGAACACAAAAATCGCAAATATAATTACACAAGTATTCGATCGTATTGCAACGACTAATGCAAATTTACAAAATGCCATTCAATCGATCAACGATAAACAACAGCAATTAAAAAATTCATACGCTGAAAAATTAAACGACGATAAAAATATAACGACTTCCATATTTGCTCAATCGTTTAATGATTCTGCCAATTCGAATAACGCATCGAGTGAAAATAAAAAAGAATTGCATCAGTTTCAAGCTGAACAACTCTCATTTTTCGCGGTTCAATCGTTAATATCCATGCTCATGATGCTACTCAAATCGATCCACCAATATGATTCTACTATTGTTCATCAAATGCTCAATTTAACAAATCAACTTATCGAACAAATTCCACTGAATTATCTGTCGCCTGATATTTATAAACAATCGAGTAATTTGTTTAAATCTTTAAAACCATTGACTAATTATATCCATGAACTATCGAAACACACGGAAGTCGATCCTATCGCAGCAAGTCAATCGATTAAAATCTTGTTGAATTTTTCAGTGATCAAAGCATCATTGAAAGAAGCTCTACCTTTGATAAGAAGCTTAATGTTCAATACAACTGATACTTATGACATACGAAGATTATTCATTGAATTGAATAACGATCTAACAAAGACAATGGATCAAATCGAAAAAGAAAAACAGACACGATCTGAAACAACAACTACACCACAGGGTGGTGCAGCGAATAGTAATGAAACATCGACAGCACCGGCTAATACAGGTGAGACTAATTCATGGTATGAGAACCAAATATTCAAAAATATGTTCTATTACCATTTAAAAAAGGCATTTCGATGACTCTTGTTTTTCATTGTGACTGAATTTAGTTTCTTGTAGAATCACCCGTATCTACTGAGAACACATCCGATAATCAATGTAATTTTTCGGCTGCATTGGAATATCTAAAATCCATTGAAGCATTTCCAAACACACAATTATTAACAATAAACGAGAAGAAATTCACTGGCCAATTCATATCGTCAGTGTTACTTGTTCACATCGATCTACACAATCAACTTCAAGCAAAATCACAATTCGATCGGGGCTCCATGCACGGTTCATTTTCATTTTCATTCGAATCAGAAACATTCAAATATTTGTATGAATTAATCGAACAATTCCTCGCAGGGCCGCCGTCGAATCATAATTTTGAGTACATCTTGGACGTTTGTCTACGGCTTTTTACAACACATTTACAATTTTTAATAGCGTCCAAAATTGATAATTTCCATGACTTCTTAAGCGAAAGTGATATTGAAAAATGGTTTACGCTAATATTAAAATTAACTCTGCATGATAAATCAGAAGAAAGAAAAAAACAAGTATCGAAAGCATTGATCTATTTGATGGAGAAACAAACGAAATCATTTTTTGAGATGTTAGCATTCACTCATAGATACATCATGGAAAATAAGCATCCGATATTAGTCGAACTATTCTTTGATCTTTTGAAGAAAGATGTATTCATATATAAATGGATCGAAGCTCTCAGCGTTGATCATCCTGCTCAAGACAAAACATTAGCATATGCAACTTTACATTCATTTATTGACATTGTCTTAAAACCGAGTTCGATGGATGCTGAACACGTTAAGCGTATACAGGATATTGTACGTATGTTTCAAGAACTGCTATTCGTATATTTGAATAATCAACCCATCACTGTACCAGATAAACTCGAATCATCTGCTCTATCAACTGTTTTTATCGAATATGCGACGCATGTGATTCAATATTGCATCAAGGAAGGTATCAAAAGTGATCTATTAGACCGACTTCTTCTTGGTTTATGTGCTCTCACTGACGGCAAATTTAACTTTGCTATAATACAACCCATTTTTGCTACTCTTCTACCATTGTTTGCCGAATATTTAAGTCAAACAACAGCAACAGACGATGTCGACACACCAAAGAGTTATCTAATTTCGTGGCTGCTAGGAAAGATGAGTTACCGTTTAATTGTCGGTCCACCACAAAGTCCATTAGAGAAAAAATACAGTACTACATTGAAGTTACCGTTATTCGCTGGTGGATACGAAACGTTGGCCACAGAGAACAATTCCTATTTATCGCAGTTGTTTAAGTCTGATTTGGTTGTTTACAGTCAATTTGTATTACCCTATCGACGCCAACAATCATTGCTAGATAGTGAGTTTTTACTCTCGATTTATAACAACGCCGATCAAGGTGCACAATTGATTTCAAAAATGAAATTATTTATTCGAGACAAACAACGTGTCTTACCAAAATCCATTGAATCCGATGCAAATGATGCGTCTGCTGCCGTATTTGCCGTCTATATCAAACACTACCGTCGTATTGATCTCGCTCAACACGAACTAACTCAACCGATCGATCAACGGCCACATGCTAAACTTCTTTTACTCTATGACTATGCCAATCAAGTACGAACAGTTTTCGCAACTACAAAAGCTCGAGGTGGCGATTGTAATGAACTTTGCAAACGAATTAAAAACGATGCATTATTATTACTTGCATCGGTCAAAGAGAGTGAATTCATTCCAACAATTAAAGAGGATTTCGCGTTGGTAATGCCTATCGCGAAGGAATTTAAACTGCAACGACAAACATCACGTTGGACAAAAGCCAAACATATTCTTCGCGTACTTCGTCATGCGATGAATGCTTGTGTACGATTGAAATATTTGATGTTAGAAAAAAAACAAGCCGTCGAACAAAAAAAGGATTGCGAAAGTGTCTTACATCGTGCTATTGTTACTTGTCTCTATGGAAACGATGTATCGGCAGCGGCGGTGGGAAACGATGATTTGAAAATTGAACCGGACGAAGTTGTTCAATGTTTGATTCGACAGTATCAACGTGCTATGACTCGATTAATTACCTATCGATTTTGTTCTCAATTTATCGAACAATTAATCAATGTGAAAGATAATAAACGAGTTCTCAATATGCTTGTTATGACTCTGTCGAATTTGAAAGATAATAATTTAGATTGGCATTATCTCGAACATGTTCAAGCATCGAATCAACAATTGAAAAAAGATATCGGGTATCGATACTATTCAATTGTAAAACAAATATTATCATTTTCAAAGGAATCTTCGATGGAATCCAATACAAAAGCAATATTCATATTTTCTCTATTTAATCAAGTGAATCTTTCCTATGATTTAAAGGATTTATGCCATTTAAATCATTTTCAATATGTTCAAGAACTATTCGATTTGTTCGTGAGTTACATTCACACGAATTCGACTGATGCCGTTTCAACCGATATGAAACTTGCAGCATTCAATTGGTTTCGTCTGTTGGTATTGAGATTATGTGAAAATATTGACATAGAAGAATTACGAAGTAAAACCAATCTCGGTAGTCGAAAATCTCATAAAATCTTATTACAACAACGTGATTTGATTTTTAACAAATTAATTTTATCTGAACTCAAACAATTGCAAGAAAAAAAATCGACTGCTGTGTCAAATAGCGAAAATGAAAATCCATCATTGCAAAATGCTTCAATCGGTTATTTTATTAAATCAACAACATCCGAAGAATCATCATTGCCGTCGTTCAATGTTGATGGCTGCATCAATCAATACCTGATGCTTCTACTTCGCTGTGCTCATTTATATGATCATGTTCGATCGAACTATGCCACCATGGATTATATTCAACAGCTATTGATTTTGTATCATCAAAATCAACTTATTAGTACGCGCCTACTAGCATTGAAAATCATACGTGACTTATTGGTATTCTTACCGGAGAATACAAACGAAACAACGACGCGATCTTTTGTTGAAAATTTATTAACTGATATTTTATTGACTATTGGTCAAAATTTTAATTTATTAGAAACAACTAAAACAAGTCTCGATATTGTCATTGAACTCGTCTATATCTATCGTACGATGATTTCACAAAATTCACCATGGCAAAAAGTAGCAACTAAATTCATTGTTGATGCTATTAAATCGAGCACAAACTTTAATTTTGCGTCATTGGAATCTGTTGACATTCGACAAATAAATCTCTTTCTCGCATCATTATGTATCCTAGGTGGTTACATTCGACCCTATTGTTTAGGGTCGACTGTAGAAATCTTTGTAGCTAATAGAAGTATTCATGAATTGGAGTCAGCAACAATTATCGAAATCAATGCCAGTGCTCTTGACACTGATTCAACGGATATTACACCGTATTTCGTACAATATTCGTCAACAAATCAAACTGAATGGGTTTCATCGAATCAATTGCGTATCATGACTGATGTTCTACCACCGAATCTCGTACTTCTACCAATGGATGATGCAGTACATACTATTCTCGATACATTAGGCTATCTGGCGCAAATCGATACAACAAGCATTGATTCATTACTGTTATTGCAAATAAAGCGTCGCGCGATAACAGCGTTTTATCCATTATTAAATAATAAGGCAACTATTGATATTTTCATGCAAAAACCTTATGCATCTATTATTGCCAAATTATCGATATCGGTTGATAGTGTTGACTCAATCAATGCTACGCAAGCCAATGATTTACGATTGTTTAATCGATTACATTTAGAACAGTATGATTTAAGTTTAGATAAATGCGAAAGAACACAACAAATCGTGGAAGACGCACAGAATATGGTGCGAACTGCAAATGAATGGAATCAAATGAAAATCATTCGTGATTCAAATGCTCTTCAAATCTTATCGCCAACGGATTCAATAGAGGAAACTTGGAAACCGATTGCATCGAAAAGACTGTTACAATCCTATCGACGAGGTCGAATTGGAACGGACGATATTCGTATTGTTTCTTTGCCTGCAAATGATACTCTACCAGCATTGGAAGAATGTGGTGATAAACACAAATTCAAAGGAAGAATTAATATCACTGATGATACTAATACCATTCGTTATCCAACTTTTATTCTCGACGGTGTAGAATTTACCGAAGGTAATTGGTATTTCTGCGTCAAACTTATGTTAGGTGGTGCAGCACAAATTGGCTGGGCAACAACCGGATTTACTCCTATGCCGGAGAATTCAAAAGGTGTTGGTGAAGATCAGTTTTCATGGTGCTATGATGGATCACGTGGAATTTGCTATCATAATACAAGCACTAGTTTTGGCCATGAAACTCGCTGGGACGCTGAGGATGTGTGTGGTTGTGGTATTGAAATCGATGGCGAAAATACGACGATCAAATATTGGTTGAATGGCAAATTCTTAGGTACGGCATTTTCACATTCAAGCAATACAACTATTGAATCAATCATAAAAACGGATTTATTGCCCAATGGACTTGGTAGTACGAGATATTTTCCTGGTGTTACTGTACAAGTTTATAATAGTGTGGCTAATACAGGTGCTATTGAATTCATATTCAGCCCGGAAGATATGACTAAATGTCCTTTGCCAAAAGGTTACAAACCATTATTAGTGCCAACATTAGCAACAATAGACAATGTATTAGTCGCTTATCCGTACAGTGCTTACCTCGTTGGTAATAATAAAAATGAATATTTCTATATGAATCGATGTTCAAAGAAGGATTTGACGGACGAGAAAACATCTATGCTACGTGATTTTGTCAATGATCATCATTTCGAAGTACCATTCAATAGTGCTGCAATTACCGTTGATCATCATCAATTAAAATTAACGGAAGATAGTGATGGTTTCCCATTGTCGATTGATACTTGTCAATCGTTGACCATCAGTTTCGATTTTGAAATTTTTCCAACGGACAGCTCGGAAAATCATGCTGATGGACTTGATATAGTGTTATTCTCGTTGGAAAACGAAATATTTTCTAGTCGAATATCTATCAATAATATGAATGATGATTTTATTGATGAAACTATGCCAAATCGACAGCGTGTTGCCATTGTATTTCAAAACAACGAACAGACCAAAGTCTACATTAATAATAAGTATCAAACATTGAACTATTGTCATACTTTTGATTTAAGAACAAAGCCAAAATTGAATCTACATCTTTTACCGTATGCAAATGTCGGCATTCAAAATATAGGCATATGGAAATATGCACTTTCGGAAGAACATATTCGACGTCTTTTCACATATGCACTCATGCATGTTGGTAACGATTATGAAAAATTGAATGAATATCGACGACAAACAAATACACTGACGTTTAATGCAGATCAGAAATATTTTGTAAATGAAACACTGATTCCATTCAACGAACCTTTTGATGAAAATCTATGGGAAACAAGAAAACAACATGTTGATCATGATGAATCGTTCTATTTCAAAACTATACCAGAAAAGAATCGATCAGTTATACAATTGCTTGGCAATAAAACTTATTTAGTTTTAAACACTGCAAATCAAGTTTGGCCCGAATATACACTGATTCTCGATATTTATCTACCCTCGCTTCCGTCAATGAATAGTCCATCGAATAATGAGGCTCGATTAACATTATTGACATTGGATACTGAATCAGAAATTTACATAACTCACGATGGCCATATTTGTGTATCCGGAGGACATCAGAGTTCATCAACAGTGAAAGTGGAGGAATACATTCGTTTATTTATTTCTGTTCAACAGAAATCCATTCAAATATATGTTGACGGTTCATTAGAAATCAATGCATCAATTACAGATGACCAATTTTCAACAAAAAACAAGCGTATGGATCTATTCCGTGAGACAGATCCAATCAAAAACACTACCGGCGATGATCAACTACGCATTCAATGCCAATCGATCACATTTTGGAATAGATCAGCCGATACTCTCAGTTCTTCGGTAGTACAATTGATCAAATCCACTGAGCATTCTTTAGATAAACTTGTTACTATACCATTTTCGGTTCTCTCTACCAGTCTGTTAGGCATCGGTTACAAAGAAGAATCAATTAAATATGTAATGGAACAATTTAATACGACAAATATTCATTTCATCGATACCATTCTGCGCGAACAGCATCAACAAATAGAAAATGCATTTATACAAAATGAAGAAAAGAAGAAGAAAAACGTAATAACAAGATTGAATTCCTATGACGAACATGGAACATTAACAATGTTGATGAAAGTCAACGATGAGGCGAAGCCAACGCCATCTACTGATATTTTATCTGAAATTGCAAATGTTGATGATGGTGCATCAGTAGAAAAAGAATGGTTTCGTAAAGCTGCTTGTCATATAGGTATACATGCTACATTCGTTGATTGGGCTCAAGATAGATCAAAGAACAATGGATCAAGGACCGAAGATTCTCGTTACAAACTTGTCAATCTAACTAAAGTCGATTCTGGAGAAACAACAATTGATGATGAATCAAGAAAAAAGTTGAACAAATCATTACATTATGTACATCGACAAATACCACGGAAGACCTACCTTCAATCACGTAAGAGCTGTGAATACGGGCTCATAACGATCAACGCACGTTACACCATATTGAATATGTTAAAAGTTTGGTCTCAAGAAGAACATTCAAGTTTGTTTCCACTTCACAAATTTGGCGGCGCGAAATTTATTGTAACATTATTACGTTTGATGGATTATCATTATACATGTAGACGTACACATGTCGGTGAAACTACCAATTGGATGACATTGTTGACGATGTCGATATTGAAAGTTGAGTTCAAAGCATTATTGAAATCTACGACCCAGGATCCAATCACTGAAGAAATTCTCAATACAAAAGCACCGCTGTTTTATCAATTACAAAAACATGTCGTTGAAGAATCGATTCGTTTTCTTGCTGAACCAAATTTGATCGATGCGAATAATTATGACGATGAAACTGTCAATGAACGAATGTTAGTGAAACAATCAAATTCAGATTTTCTTCTGAAAATTATCAATCTCTTTTTGGAATTGTTTACTGATTCTGAAATGAAAAAATACAACGTTGATCAAATGATTCGATTACTATTTCCAACGGTATCCATCAAAATACTATTCGATCTATTTATGTTATTGCCATCGCACCGATCGAAAATATTTATTCTCAAAATATTTACTACGTAAGTTTATTTGAATGAGACTTGTATTGATCATTTTCTTGTTGTAATAGATTAATTCAAGCGAGTGAAAATTTCAAATTACACGCAGATATTCTACATTTTATTCTACAACTTTTTATTGAATTAATCACAAACAAAGCATGTTCGAGTACTTTAGCATTTAGAAATTTTCGAAATGCTACTATGGGTCTTGCATTTGCTGTGTTTGAAAGACAGAAGGAACTGATTTTAGGATTGGACGAATGCCCATCGGAAGCACGCAATATGTGGCTTCTTATCGATGTTATGAATATTATAACGAGCAAAGAAAAACAATCCGAATGGCCCGAACAATTTCTTGCACAATCAGGCTCACTTCTAGGCGAAAAATTCCTATTGACTAAAGATATGGTTGCCATGACTCAGACCTTTTTTGACATGAACGCTAATGGACAATTAATGAAGTTTTTGAATTTAAATATTAATCTCGATTGGAATCCACTACCACATGAATCATTAAACCAATTCATCGAAGCTTTACCAGCCGAATCTACTCCTGATTCGACTAAATATAATTCATATACTTGCTTATGTGACATACCCTCTGTACATATACAAACACGTGCTAAACTTCTATATTTATTCAATACTTTTCTTGGTACAGTTCTGCCGATGATTGATTTAGGTTTACCGTCAGACAACAATAATATCGCCGGTCGAATTCGAGCGGCAAGAAATTATATATTGTTTACAACCAAATATCAATTGTTTAATGATAGCTTAAGTAAAACTGTGGACGGTTCAGGATCATCGCAAGAAGTAAGATTTGATACTGTAACATCTACCATCGGCGAACATCCTCACGATACAATGTTCTATCAAGCGTATTCGCAAGCTTATGCTAATGCATGTCAAACATTTCGAAAATCGAATAACGATCGAGTTTGGTCGGCTACATTTGTAGGCATGCATAGTACGGATGCAGGTGGACCCTATCGAGATTCGCTGACACGCATTTGTGCCGATATATGTAGTACACGTTTACCGTTATTTATTATCTGTCCAAATGGCCGCACGAATAGTGGTTCAAATCGTGATCGATGGATTCCGAATGTTTTCCCACCGAATCGACCTATACCTGATGAGTTCAAGAATCAGTATCGTTTCGTTGGACAACTCATGGGCATGGCAATACGTACAACAAATCTTTTGGATATTCGATTTCCGACTTTACTCTGGAAGCAATTACTTTACCAAACAGTCACAATTGAAGATATCGAAGCTATTGACATGCAAAGTTTTACTATTATCAATCAAATGGAAGAAAATATTAAACAAGTTCAATGTCTTAATGACTCTGAAGATGGCGATTATCTATTCAGTAGTATCATGAGTGAGCTAACATTTGATGTTGTTAGTTCGGCGGGACAGACTTATGAACTTATTCCTGGCGGTTTGCATACGCCTATAACAGCTACTAATTTCGAAGATTATTGTATGCGCTATCGACAATATCGTGTGAATGAATTCCATCGACAAATCAATTTCATTCGGGAAGGTCTATACAGTATCGTACCATCGTGTTATTTGACTTTGTTCACAACTACAGAATTGGAAGAAGCTGTTTGTGGTAAAGGTTACATTGATATTGACATGTTGAAACGTCATACTAGTTACAATAATGATAGCGAAACAACGCCACATATTGGACGATTTTGGACTGTTCTACGTGATATGTTTAGTGAAGAACAGAAAAAATTATTTTTAATATTCGTTTGGGGACGAAATACATTACCGAATAGAGACGACGATTTTCCCACCAGTTTTTCAATAACTCGTTTGGATGCAGCTGGTAATGTCGATGAAACTCTTCCAAGTAAGTTTATTAGATATGCATCTATAAGGTTATATTTATTTTGTTGTTCGTCTAGAATCACACACATGTTATTTCACGCTTGATTTACCACCATATTCAACGAAAGAAATCATGTATGAACGTTTAAATTATGCTATTACATATTGCTCCAGTATTGATACCGATGGAACTCTTAACTAGATCTTTATCAGTATCGATGAATCAATGATAGATTCAAATTGAAAATCGTAACTAAGAAACTTCTGCAACAATTTTGTGATACTTTTTTAAAAATTTTTCTAAATATCTTATCCTGTTTTAAGCTGGTGATATTCATTCACGAATGAATCTATTTTCTTTTAAAACATTTTATTAGAATAAAATACTCGCATGCATCTCCTATGAATACACATATCAGTGGCGAAACAAGAGCACGGATCTTCTTGTGAGGCTGTCCTTGACACAGCAAACAAAAAACACCAGTCACAATATCTAATAATATTTTTCTTCTTATGATTAGATCTGTGAAAAATTTTAGGCACACGATTTCTTCTACTTTTTCCACCTATTGAGTCATGACATAAATCGAAATTTTTAAACATCTTAACTAATGGCTGATTCATTTAACGAAATAATGCTATCCTTTCGTTTTTGAGATTCTTCTAAAACCACAACTGTCTCGTAGAATTTTGAAAAATTATGACGTAACTCAGACAAAAGTTTAATCAACTATTTATCAATAAAATATCCACCATGCTAAAAGAAAAACATATTTTACAGAATTTCATTAAATTGTTTATTTTGTTTTGCTTTTGTAATAAAGTTCAAGGGTCTCTTGTAGTGATTTCAAATTTTTGCACACGATGATTTTCAAAGTCTGATACAAACAAGTTTCCATGTTTATCGAATAGTATCCCTGCAGGACGATTGAGTTGATTCGGTTGTGCTCCTCGACCGTTTCCGCCAGCAATAACTTTGCCTTCTGCAGCACCTTTTTTCCAGCAAACCACTCGATGAATTTCACTATCTGCCACATAAACATTGCCCCATTGATCAACAATTACTCCTCCTGGATAATAGGAATTTCTGGAAGAGTCACCGCGGCCTCGACCACCTGCCACGATTATTCCTTCTCTAGCATTCTCGGTCCATTTCATCACACGATGATTATTATAGTCCGATACGTACACAGAATGATCCCGATCAACGAAAATAAAAGTAGGATAATCAAGTTGATCGAGACGGTTGCCTGTTCCATTTCCACCTGCCACTACTGTCCTTTCAGTTTCTCCCGCGCGCCATCGTCGAACTTCGTTATTGGTGACGTCAGTAACATACAAATGTTTATTCTCGTCCATTGTCAAACAATTGCAACTGATGTCTGCAATAATTGTTTCTCCGTGTGTTGAATCTCGAAGAGACCATTGAACCACTCGACGATTCCCTCGATCGCAGATAATGAGACAATCATTTTCTTTGTCAACAATCACATCGGTAGGATAATCCAATTGATTATCTCTACATCCTGCTCCGTTTCCACCGGCTACAATTTTTCCATTTGGTTCTCCTAGTTTCCATTCCACGATACGATGATTTGAAAAGTCAGCGACATAAAGTGTGCGTTCATCTTGTAAATATAAACCTTGTGGATTCGAAAATTGATTCAATCCATCACCACTTGAATTATATCCTGCCACAGTCAACCCATTTGCTGTCCATTTGGCATTAATATCAATGTCAGAAGCAGTGCGTAATGGAACTAATTAAAAACAAAAATATTATGATTTAACAATGAAAAATCCTACTGCAAATAGAATAGATAAGACTCTAAAGCTAGTTTCTATTGATATCTTCGAAATAAATTCCACGTACTTGTGCAAGTTTCGTGCATTCTCATTTCAAGTTGCTTGCATCGATGTTGAAGTCCATTGACTTGCAGCTGTAGTTCTTGATTATCAGTCTGAATTCGTTCTACTTGTTTCGCCATAAGTAATAAAGGACTCAAAACAGATCTCAGAGGTTCGAACTTGCAATGTGCTAAATGATCATTGAGTTGATCACGTGAATCCGTCCATTCACATTTTAGATCAGCAGCCGAACACGTCACTTTTGCTTTGGGGCATAATTTATTAATGTGTTCATCGAACATATTTCGTTTAATGTTCATTTGATTGCAAGTGTCACATTTTACTAAAAGTTCATTGAGGCAATTAACCAGAGGTAGATTTGCTGGTTGTAGTTCACTTAAAGTGAAAGGCATGTGGCGACACATAGGACAAACAGGTTTGTCTTTCATTACTCGTTCGATGCCTGATCGGCAGAATATGTGATTACAAGTTAATACTACTATAGGATCAAGATAAGGATCTGTACAAATCGCGCACTTGACATCGGCGTCGATGGATTCCTCGTTTACGTAACTGAAACCACGCGTATGTTGTGAATCGCACATCTTGCAAATAGTACAGTCGGTTTGTTTTTGTTCTTTGCAGCACGTTAAAAAAATCACAAATGAATATGAACACATGATGTACTTATTTTTCGTTCTTTTCCTCGAGCTTGACTTTTTCAGTTGTTTATTTGTAAACATATAACGTCACGTGGACAATATCAACAAAAAAAGTGGTTTAATGCTTGTTATGACATCATTATGATGAAATTTACTTGATAAAATTCATATTTAGAACAAAGCTGGGTCATTTCAAAAACTAATAATTCGTACTGACCAAATTAGTGTTTTTTTTCGTTTCAAGATGAACGACCAAATCTTTAAAAAAATGTGAAGCTATGGGAATTAATTTTTTTCAAATCTATCTGTAATTAATTTTATCGGTTATGAAAACGAAACTACATGCTTACCAAGATGAGAAGATAAAAAATTGCATATCTAGTGCAGTCACCACAGAGTGCACACTGACAGAATGAGAGTCTCACAGCAAAATTATAGAAAGGTAATCGCAAGGAAATATTGCAATCATTAGCCATATCACTGAAGATTCTATGCATGGGAGTACCGTCAAGAAAAACATTAACTTCAACTTCGTCATAGCGTCAACAGCATGTTATTACATTTTCTTTCGCAACAGTCCGTTGAATAAAACTACAGTAACTTGTTTTTTTCTTCTTTCATTCTTTATATTTAAATATGACACATTATTTCATTTTTGCAATCGTCAACGATAGAAACGACCAGTCATGACTGTTCTAAGGAAATCTTCTTTTGAAACATTACCCGTCGAGATTGTTCATCGAATCTTCGATTATCTTCCTACTGAGACAATTGTTTCTTCAATTCGGTATGTATGCAAACGATTTTATTCCATTATTAGTGGATACAATAATTATGAGGTAGACTTTCGTTACATGTCAAGATCGGATTTATGCTCCATGGCACGTATTATTGATCCTAAAAATATCATTTCAGTTACACTTTCAGATGAAATACAAACACCTGGTCAAATTCGATTATTTCTTACCCATTTTCAAATTGATCAATTCATTCGACTACGTTCATTGACTCTTGTTAAAGTAAATTGCAAAGATATCGATCAATTTCAAAAACACATCATAAAATGCCAGCTTACAACGCTTTCCATTACGCTTTGTGACTATTATAAAAACGACCCAACAGCATTAATATCATCTCTCATATCGCATAGCAATCTTCGTAAATTCGAATACATCGGAAATTATAAAATTCTTCGCGGAATACAATGGCCCATCCAATGTAGATTGATACACGTTATAATCGGTCATTGCAGTTTCAATATATTGTATTCTATTATTTTTCACTTACCTTATCTACAAACACTCGTCGTAAAAGATATTTTCTCGAGCGTATCTGTTGTTACGGCTGATTGATGCGATGGTATTCCACAATTAAGTCATTTAACGTCGCTATCACTAAACATGAATTGTAATATATTAATGGCCGATATTGAATCCGTGCTTTCATTTTTGCCGACCTTAACGCATCTTCAACTGATGAGCGAAGACCGGTTACTTGATACTCGATTATTCGATGGTTCCTGCTGGGAGAACTTCATTCGGGCGAAATTGCCTCTATTGAACAAATTCGAATTCTATTTCTCTCGCATTGCAATCACTGATCCAGATTGTATTACTGTAGAATCAGTGATCGCATCATTTCGAACATCTTTTTGGCTCGAAATCAAACATTGGATCGTCAAGTGTCACCATGAATGCGGCAAATACTATCCAAAATATCATCTCTACTCGATACCAATCATCCAAGACAATTTTAATTGTCCTGAACAACGAAGTATGATTCGACATTCAGCATCGAACACCGCTGACAATGATGCAACACTCATCGTTAATGCACATAGATTATCTGTGGACTTGAGTCAAATAGTGGGTCAAGCAATCTCAGATAAAGTGAGTCTAATAATTGGTTTATTGAATGTTGAGAAAATATAGATAGAGCCTGAATATCGGAAACAAAGTTTCGTTCGATCCAGTCATGTTAAGAAATAGCTCATATTATTGCCCACATTTCTCTTCACGCTCTATAAAGAGTTTTATTAGCTGTTTTCCTGTGAGAATACAATTTGATAAACAAGTAAAAAGTTTCGTTTTAAATTATCTGGATGTACAGTACATGTCTAAAACGAGAATTTTCAATAGAAATATAAAAAATGTATTAGTTTTCACTTTCTAAATGAATGCGAAAATGATTTTGTTGGCACCAAGTTCGATAAGGAACTCTCGAATATTTCTTTTTTGAGATGGATAAGATCGCATGAAATGAAGGTAGGCCGTTCTTAAGGTTCTTTGTTTCACCTAAAATGATTTATATTTCATAGTACAATTTTCTACAACAACATTATGCATTTTTGATTTTAGGCTAATGCAACAATGCCCTATGTATTTCCCAATGTGACAGAACTTAAAATAGTAATTAATGAAAAATGGTCTGCAAGCTTGGGTAAACATCTATATAAAATTGTTACTCTATGGAATCTTGGAACATTATGGTTGGATTTTCAATGCGAATGTATGTCTACTGTAAATCTATCTGTCGAAATGAATACTCTACTGAAACTAGCATCGAATATTCGTTCACTTCGAATAAGCTGTAACAAATCTGAGAGAATGAAGATGGTAACTTTTAATGCTATCTGTTTAACATTACCTCATCATATTAAACGTCTAGATGCGGATATTATGCATGTGGCCGATGCAAAAACGCTATTGGAGCAAGCTCAACATTTAAAAAGTGTCACATTTCGAACAATTGATCCATGGTATTTTGCTCATGAAATTGATTTATGGCTCTGGCAGATGAAAAGAAACACTGTTGTCTATCAAGTAGATGCGATCAGATTGAGACGTTATGACGATTTTGAGTCGAACAATGCGATCCATTTGTGGCTTGGAAAGGACGTCAATCAACAATCCAGTAGTTCGCATAGTCACAAACGTATCAAGCTGTGCTAACACTCTGAATTACTCATTGGCATAATATTGCCAAAATAATGAAGTGCCCATCGCGCAAGGGGATATTGTCAATAATCGAGTTTCATACAAAATATGACGTCACTTGACATTAGATTTTATGTTGATGAATACAAAAACTAAATTGTTTGCTTATTTTTTTATGATCTCTTTTGTATTGTTGTTGATTGAATGCAAGGACACCGATCATAATCACTCACATCACAGCCCATATGATTGTTATCAAAATAGAGAAAGAAAAATACATATTTATTTACACGCCCCTCATTATTTACAAAACCAATAAAAAATCACATCTATATCTGCATTTATATAAAATCTAGTTTCTATTTTTGTAATAAAATAAAATAAACTCCAGTTGATGCAATTCGTTGAATTTAATTCAAAGCGTAATCGACGTCAAAGATGGCAACTAATTTGGCCAAGATCATTAGTAATTTTCATAACAATTACTGAGATGTTATTAACAAGTGCTATTATTGGTCTAGAATTTTGGAGTATGATTATCAATGTAAAATATTCATTTTTTTTCATTGGTTTTCTTGCTTCATTATTCTTTATAATAACTTCGATATCAAGTTTTACTATTGGTAATTATTTGAAATAATATTCATGGATGATGCATTCTATTTTTCTATGTACTAGTCTGTTGTTGTGGAAAATCACTCAGTTGCGCGAAATATATATTAATTGTACATATTCTGTCGATTGCTTCATCAAGCGTTCTTCTATTTTATGATGTTCTATTTCTTCGTAATTCTTATACGTGCTTGTGGCCAAATGGCTTGTGTGATGGAAATCAATTAAATTTTAATATTTTTGGTATTGCCTGGGGCGTTAGCAGAGATATTCCGTCAATTAAATTTACTTTGATTATAATACAAATAATCTGCAGTGCTATTATGATCGTTTTATGCTTAGTGTATATTTGTATCTACATTTATACGAATATTAGAGTTTACACAAGCCATATAGTGACTGCTTCACATGCAGTCATTGAACTCGGCCGTGTAAAACAGCCACCTCCTCCGTATTGGCCAACACCACCAAAAACACTACCTCCTTCGTCTGAATTTTGACAATTTATTGAAACTATTTATGCAAAACAGGCACTCTTTCTTAATAAGAAAAATCAGTGTCTACTGAAAGATTATGTGTTTGTAGTTCATGTTTATTCTTATCATGAACAAATTGTTTGATATTTTCGATGAATAATTAAATAATAGAAAACTCAATGTAAGATCTGATCTGGGTGTGGGTGGGAATGAAGATAAGATTCATACGCAGACACACACTGTCGAGATAGAAATGATGTAACCACTAATAGGATTCTAAGTTACTCGGCCTTACAAAAAACATCTACATGCAATCATCTTACGTTAGGGTACGCTTGATTCAAAGGCTAAAGGAGATGCAAATCCAACTATTTTCATTTGCAATCCATAAAATATAAGCATTTTATTATATATGATTCTTTATTGAAAATTGAGTAGTTTCAGAGTGAACATGCAGTAGAGAAACGTAATGATTCAAAAAAAAAATTAAAATGTCGAGTATATTTGTCAAAATGATTAATAACGAACTCAAGATACTGTCGTTATCCACCCCATCGATGGACGAAGTGCACCGGTTTGCGGATTCTGACTGATGCCAAGAAATCCGGCGATCAATTTCATTTTGATTTCCATACCATTATTATACAAGGTGAAATCGGTCTTGGCTATACTTTCTGCAAAATATTTGAAGTCAATTCAATTCTTGAACGCGAAAGATTAGAGAACGAATTCTAACTAATAGAAATTCTCATAATAGTTTATGTTTTACCTCATAGTTGGATAAAAATTACCGTGACATTCATAACTAAACAGATACAGTTCCTATCCTGTGAGTTACATTCCTGAACGAAACTTATGGAAAGAAATCAGCTAACCAATCCATTAACTCATCCACCACTGAACCAGTCCGTTGGTGATAAATTCTTGACCACCAATCGCATTTAGGCTTTCCGGCAGCAGTGTTCTTTAGTTTTTTTAATATGTGACAAGATAGCATCGAACCACCAATGAAAATCAGTAAAAATAAGTTTGAATTAATTGATAGAGTCAATTATTTGTTGAAAATCACCCTGAGAACCACGTAATGTGACTTCTGGGATACCGCACAATAAAGTAACGCCGTAGCTGTAGTATGGCTTAGTGGCATCCATAAGAGCACAATTGAAAACAGCTTGTTCAACTGGTTTTGTAGTTAAAAACGGTTTAGTAATCAGTGATGCCAAATCTGTCTTCATATTTTTTCGTATCAATTCAGCTATCATTCTAACAACTGATTCCCAATCAACACCAGGAACTGACTTGGCTTCATGTTTTGGACGTTCCGCGTCAGATATTCTAAGATCATCCGCGCTTACGATCAATTCTTTTTTCCCTCGTGAGAAACCATCAATGATCGATATTTTTCTGTGTTTTGATTGAGATGAAGCCCGATACCTTGAATAATAGTCACCCAAAAATCATCAACGCTGGGTTCTAATGGATAATGGTCATAGTAAGCTTTGAAAACGTTAGTTACAAATGCATTTGATACACGATGTTTGCAACCGTTTAGATCGCTTGTCAATGGATAATTTATTCGAAAATTTTCCATAGACGAAGTCTCTCCTTTTTCCCCTCGACGAAAATCTTGTTCACACACAATGCTAACGAGATCATGTTGTTTATTGCAGCGCTCTATATTTGTCTTCAGTATAAATGTAAACAAAGCCATTCTTCTAATGACAATAAAACAACTTCAATTCGTTTCAAATAAATTTTAAATTGTTGATTGAATTTACATTTGCTCTTATATATATATATATACTAGCAATGGTCCTGTCATTAAACAGGCGTTGATGCATCAAGTCTTCTTATCTTATCAAACAGTATATTAAGAAACAAAAGATATCTTGAATCGGGTTTCTATCATTCAACGTCACTGGGATAGAAGAAGGTGATGGTGAAGAGTGTGCGGGTGTGGGTGCGAGCTAAATCGCTGACCTAGGCAAAGTGGAATAGTCTACATTGTAGTTTCGATATTTTTATTTTCGTCTTTTTCACTTTTGACATTTGACAACCAAATCTTTGTGATAGTCAAATCAAGCCCAAACCGTTTTGAGTTTGGTGCATGGCTGGTAACAATTTCACTTATTGCGAAGTGCTCGAAAATTCCTTTTGAACAGTTTTTTAATCCTCATATCATGTTCTTAGAAAAGTCGCATGAAGTTCATCGCCAGAGAAAGGACTTCTACTTGAAAGTGGTGCCATTGATATTCAATCTTTTTCAGATATGTGCAGCAATGTATAGTTTTAAAAAAATATTTATTAGTGAAAAGCAACTCATAGTTACCGACGAAAACTTAAACAGTCTGATATGTGGCACCCTTGTTAGTTAATTTTTGGAAGATGAAGATAACTCCGTCTTTTGAGTATCCTGGGAGTGAAATCCAGAAGGAGCGGTGAGGAAGAATATCAAGGCCAGTGGCTTCTCGTTTGAATTTGTTAAACGACATGAAGGTAATCAAATAGATGAAAACAAGTACCACAACGATGATGAGCAGAACGGCTCCGCCACTCAAGCCCTTGTTCGGTTTGTCTGGATCGGGCCCGGGCTTGTCTGTGTACGTTAAAATATGTTACTGATCGTAGTTCTAACGAAAATATCAATCGCACTTACTTTTACAGCCATCGAAACAGGCACATTTGCTAGACAGTTTCATATTGTAGGTCTCCTGGGGACTTTCGCTGATTATTTCCAGTACGTTGACTTCCGTATCTTTCGTACATTGCATGCTGATCTTTACGTGTTTTGTCTGATATGTGTAAGTGAGAGTTGCACTGCCACCAAAACCTATCGGTGGAATCCAAACGGCACTGTCATGTTTAGCCAAAATGAACGATTCACCAGACGTGAATGGAACTAGAAATTGCTTTTAATGAAGTTTCGAGTTTTATACTCCATGGAAATACTTACCTTGACACACAGCTACATCTTTACAAGTGGTTCCCTCAGTGAACGGCTTACATGGATTGAAGCTGTATTCTGAAAATGAAACGACTCGATCACAATACTGCACTTCAAGATGGAAAAATACATTTCAATTGAAATATTTTTTATCATATCTTCAAGAGTACCAATAATGTACAATCATTTTATTGGAACAATTCAGTGTTAAAGAAGTTCTTTCTTATCAAAATGTCGATTGAAAAATATTCATTGTTATTACTGTCCTTTTATGCATCTGAAAAGTCTAGAACCTATAGATCTACTTTGTTCTTTTTAAAATTAGGAGATTCCTGATCCCTCTCAGTGGTTATCGTCTTCTCGTGTCACTACCTCGGATTCTTATTGAGACACGCATGGAAAAAAGTATCGACGTGATATTAGTTGTCGATATGATCGGATTTCTATGATTAAATGCTTGAAAACCAGACAAAATGATCAAAAAAATCCCTGCGATCATCTAAGACTTAGGATCAAGCGATACAAGCAAAATAAGAATCTTACTCCACGACGAAGCACTTTGAGAGATGTCCGGAAATGCCGGTGTGCCATCTGTATGACCAAGCGATGTTAAATCGATAATCCCTGCGCTGTCTACGTAACGGCATGGGTTTTCACCATTGATTGTAGCAAGAACTAGATTGAATAGAAAAGGAACAGCGACGAGTAGATGCATACTTCAATTCAGCGTCTTGTGACCAAAAATGATAAAGCTCATATCTTTCTTTCTCTTCAACGGTGTGTCGACATTGTTTACTTCTTAAAGCACAGAACTTAGAAAAACATCGGCCATCGTCACCTATGTGTAAAAATGGCGAAGAACACGTTTGGTATTCGAATTCGAAGATAACAATTGAAAATGTTATTCTCATCTACGTCGAAAATTGACTTAGGAAGAGCGGCGCGGCTGTAATGAAGCTATCAGAGTCGAGGGTCGTGTATCATTTTGTCGAGTCCTGACGAGCATTCCTTGAGGGTGTGGGTAGTATGGATAGATGATGCATGAAAAATCTACATTCACCCTCTATCACTTTGCGATATAAGTGGACAACTGACTTTCATAACTTTCGTGTTGATTGATTTGATTTCATGTCCACTATATCGAAAGGGAGTATGCGAGTTTTCATCTAAAATCAGTGGTGCATGACAGCTTCAGAACGAAAAGAAATGATTCAGAATAAGCAAATGACGTGTATTTCGCTTATAATTACATTAATTACTCTCTTACCTTACACGTTGAAATGTGACTCATAAGTATTGCTATTTTATTGCGTAGTAGAGTATATAAATATCTTGTTGTATACGCAAATGCATTTGATTTGATTTCTACGTTATATACGTATATAATGATGACCAGCACAAAAACAATCGAAAAAAAGAAAGGCACAAGTATTCTCCGGCGATTTATTAAGAGTAAGGCTAGTCCTCTTTATCATGCATGTGAATCCGGGGAAGTCAATCGTGTTCGAGAACTTATCGCTTCTCTAAACTATTCTGACATCAATCGTCGTGAGCCCAACGGAAGCACGCCCATGTAACTTTTTTTCGAGTCGTAACGCATCTCTGAGCGTTTGTGAACAATGGCACTACACGCATCAGGACGCATCTAGAATGCAACATTTTCGGGGGTGCAGACGCGTCCAGGGTAACCTGACGCGTCTACACTCGTTCAGTATCAAAACGTATCATAACTCGTTTGCATTTGAAGACGCGTTAGGACCCGTCCAAAATGCAACATTTTCAAGCGTGGGAACCCATCCAAAAGCAAACGCGTCTAAACTCGTTTGGATACAAGATGCGTTAGAACGCGTTTACTTTTTTCCCCCAAAAAAAATTGAAAATTATCAACACTCTGTGTCGGAATTGAGCCGACGCATCATATTAAGCTATGATATAACACCCACATACCATGAGCAACAGAGTGGCAATTTTTCCAACGATAGCGTGAACCAAGATTTGAACCCATGAACCATTGATTACAAGCCGAACATAACTTGCGCTGAGCCATATATTGCTGGATATTGTTATTATCTTCATGAATCACATGAATTAATCGTTTTACAGTACTTTTGACTTATCTTGCTTTTTAAAATAAATATTCTAATGATATTTATTTTAATGAAATCAAGATAAATCATTCTTTTTATGAATGAAACAACAGTGGAAAAAAACTCAAAATTTTGATTACTGAAAAAATTAAGAAAAACAAATATATCTGTCTTTGAAGGGTATAAATGTACATATACGCAGTATAATAATATTAACTAACATTTTTTCCATTAGTATAAGGACACTATAGCAAGTATTTTTTTATAGAAAATGAGAACGATATATCACAACACATAAAATAAAAAAATCTTACCTGTGTATGTTTTTTCGTAACCGTCATACTGTAATCTTTTAAGTCATCCATCCGAAAAAGAGTAAATGATCTTATAGCCAGAATTTTTTAAACTTACTTAATTTGTTTTTCTAGAATAGAATATTGATCGATATTTGAATTAAAATATTTAAAAAATTGTTTGTTTTCAATTTTTTAAATAGTTAGGATGCGTTTTTTTCGTTTTTCTTAACTTGATAAAATAAGTTTTACTTCGATGCATTGTTCATTATAAGGAACAATAAAGATAATTATACTAAACTCTGCACCAAAGAACATTTTTGTGCAGTTTATATTTTAAAAGCAATTGAAAGTAAAAACAGAAAATGCATCTAATTTACTTAGTTATTTACGACAGTGATGATGAAAATCCTAGCGATAATATCAAGATAATAATCTATCGTGTGCGCAACAGAAAGTACTTCCGAGTTTAAGAAAACAGAAGCATACAGTTGTATTTATAGTCTAATATTTCCAATAAAAACTTTCGAATAGAAATGCATTATCATAGAAATACTCATTTGATAAAATCAATCTGTTAAACCAAACCTTATTTGATTCAATCCTCAATATATAAACGAAGGCCGAATTTTAGAGTTCAAAAGAAAAAATATCATGGATATCATATACGTATTCAATAAAATTAAATAGATTTCTTTTTTACTTAACTGAATCAATAAAGGACTTTTTTACTGCTACTTACAGTTTCCAAAGACGACATATAACACAAAGACTGCTCCTAGTGCAATGTAGCATTTTAACTAGAGCAAACTCCGTTGTACTCAAGCCTATTTTTGTATAAAAGCAGATTTCGATAGCTATCATGCTTAGACATGAACCAAAATCAAAACTAGTTTTGAAGTTTTGGTTTTAGTTTGGAAATATAATCTTTTTCGACGTATTTCAAAACGAAAGCGAAAACCTCAAACAAAAAATATTAGATTTGCTGCATGTCTGACCACTCTTCATTGATAGTACCTACTATATAACTATGAATTCAGTTGCGTTTCGGAAATCAGTGCAATGAAGCGCGTTTTCGGCATTTCATGAATTAATCATACCTCCATGAAACGCGTTTTATCTACTTCGTCGATCTTACGGCGTTTATTGGATAGCAAATAAATTGCGTTTCAATTGTGGTACACGATCAAATGCAAGAAAAGGCACAGATTGCGTTCACACGCGTTTTAAAATAGGAATTCAAACGCGTTTGTATACGTTTGCTCTGATTAACGCTAACAAACTCGTCGAAGTTCTCTAAACGCGTTAAAAAAGATAATTACAAACGCATTTATCTGCGTTTTTATCATAACTCGATACCGAAACGCATCAGGACGCCAACATTTGCAACATAAACGCATCTAACGGCGTCTAAAATGCGTTTCAAGATTACATGGGCGGCTCTTCATGTCGCTTCATCCTTTGGTCATTCGGATATTGTTCGAATTCTTCTGCATGAACGAGGTGTAATGAAACATCGAAGAAACCGCGACGGTATGACTGCATTTGAAGTAGCAGCCAACGATGAAATTCGTCAAATTTTCATTCGACCCAAATGCGGATCAAACTGATTCTGTAGCGATGATGATAGCACAAATCAAAAACAGCTTTTCACAGTCATCCATGGCGATCAAAGAGGCAGCGAGAATAAGAAGAATGACGATGAGTCACCGTCAAAAAAATGGGTTGATTTAGTGGCAGATGAAAATCACACTAGAGGATTACAAATAAGTCAAACAGTTGGAAAGACTCTATTTTGTTCGCCATTTGTTCGATCAATTACGTTTGCTATGTTCAATTGTTTACTCAATGATCAATTCGCACCTTTTGAAAATGAGGCATCCGTGAGAGATTTTCTACTACGTCTTATTGATACGCACGTGACTCGTAATGATCCGGAATATAACAAAGCATGTGAACTGGTGAACGAATTTGCTCAAACAAAACGAATTGAGCCATTGTTACGTCTTTACACACTTGAAACGCCCTTGTATCGTCAATTACACTACGAATCACATGCATGGCTTCTTCCACTTATTTGTCACTTTAACAATCTAAAACCACGATTCTTTCAAGGGACATCCTGTCGTGGTTTATCGATGAAATCGCAAGAATTGCGAGCCTATCGATTGGCATGTGGAAAATCATCGTGCATCATTCGAACAAACACATTTTGTTCAACATCCAGTGATCGTCATGTTGCTGAAGAATTTTCAAATGAGTGCTCCAATAGTGACCTGATCCATGTTCTGATGATATTTGAATTTCTCCATCTTTTCCCGCTTTTATTGTGTAATGCAAGCACTTTTGTGAATACGGATGCCATTGAAAGGCAAATAAAGCACACATTCAGAAATAAGTTTAGTGAATTGTTCGGTTAGTAAATTATTCAGCAGAAAATGAAATGAAAAAAAAAGATCAAGTAGAAATATCTCAATGTCACATGTGTTTTTTAGTCAATGATAACTTTTTCTGTTGTACATCGCCCAAAGTTTTCAGGTGAATACATTTCTTCAGCCTTAGCTGGTGGAATGATAAATGTTCCAGCACATGTTGCACGCATAACATAACTCCATTCGTATACACCAGACCATAATAATGCTCGAAATACTTCAGCACGTTCGTCTCTTAAATTTTCATATTCAGTCCAACCAATCGTTGAATATAATCGATATTCATTATAGCGACTGTTTCTTTTTGATCTTGTTACTGATGAATTTGTATAATCTGCCAAAGTACCCTTTAATTTTGTATTCAATGGTTCACAACCAGCTGGTAAATAATCAACTAATGCTACATGATATCGTCGTTGTGTTGTTGTCATTGTTAATGTAACTTTAATTTTTTCATTTAGCCTGAAATTCCAAGTTCCATCGGGTTGTTGCTGAACGTGTGATGAATGATCGATAGCTGTGTATGTTCGTTCAATTTTAAAACCATAGTTAACTGCATTTAGTTGCAGACTTGTTGAGGCATAATCCATTGCAATACGATAGTATAATCGACCATTGCCACGTTTATGCATCACTACGTTCTTATCGTTACTACCCATGTTGAATGATGATGACAGCGCCAGAATTGTTCTCATCGGAATACTCACTGTATATGTATTTGTTGTTCGACCTATACATATTAAGATAAGAAATCAGAACACATAATATATTTATATACTTCGAAATCATCCGCTTAGATGTCGATATTTACAAAAAGCGATATAGAAAGAGCTACATGGAAATTGATTTTTTTTTCTTTTGATTTCATCTTACCTTTATATTGATGTTGACCGCAATAATCATTGTCATACCAGATATTGACAACACAATCTGGTGTATCTTTTTCTTTAATGTGAAAATATTTATCTAATGCAATTAATACAAAACAATTTTCCTGTGTTGATTTCCATGCACCTTTCACTTTATGTGCTTGTAAACCTTTACATAATTTAGTACAGAGGGTGGATTCTGGATCAATACATAATAATGATTCTAATAGAATAGCATCTGTTCGTTGATTTGAATGGAACATTACTGATTGACCATCATCACCATACGATGTAATAAAATTTGCTGTTTCGCTTGTTTCGTTTACTTTACCTTTTAAATAGTTATATATGAGTTCAATTGTTTGATGATTATCATGACTTTTGTCAGCAGACAAGGCGATCAATAGCCATCCTAATGCTTCTAAACTAAGTTTATCGAATCCACTTTGCTGAAATATTTGTAAAGCTTGATGAGCCATGTTTTGACGAAATTTTGCTCGTACATATAATGCATAACTGATCAAACTAAATCGAGTTTTTTCCGACCAATGCTTACTGTAGGGTAATTGATCAATCTCAGATTCAATATTTTCAAGATATTTTAACGTATTTTTTAGCATATTATTGTCAACATCAAATACCTGTAAGTAATAGAGAATAGTTCATATTCAAAAACAATTGTTTACAGTATACTTCTAATTATGCGATTATATGTGTGTTCAAATTCTTGCGTACCTTTTTATTTAAAATGACAGCTAAACAATGAGCAGCATGTACACTCATATATGGATCAGGATGAGAATCCTGTCGATTTGTCCAATAACCAAAACCACCATTTGGATACTGGCGACCTTTCAATATATTTATATCTGACTCTAATTTCGTTTTCAATACAGATATATCAGGTAATTGTTTACAATGAAATGCCTGTAAAACATTCCACAGTGATTGTATACCTAATATTCTTGAGCTTAATTGTTCTGTACATTCAAATCGATATGTATAAAGCGAAATAATTGCATCAGTTAATGATGCTAATGCTGTCGAACTTGTTGTTATTGATAGTTCACCGTATTGTGAAAGAACATGTTTTGGTGTTTTTATTGGCTGTATAACTACTTCTTCATGTGTATCATCATATGTTGCAAATGCTTCTGATGTCGCTGGCATAAATACAGGTAAACTTACTTCGATGGCGTCACCAAATGATGGAGATGTTTTATTTCTAGGAGTATTGACTATGAACTGAAATCGAGCTGTACCAGAATGCATTGTTTCTATTGGAAACGTAACAGCAGCTCGTTTATTAGGTGGTAGAACAATTGAATAGCCAATTGCTGGTCGATTTGTTTGTGCTGTTAATAATTTTGCATTGGTTGCGCTCAAACCAGTATGTAATTGTAGTGATTGATCGGTTTGATTTTGTAAAATAACTGAGAAATATGCAGTATCTCCATAATTCAGAAATCTTGGTAGTGAAGGTCGAATCATAATTGGTAGTTGTACAGTAAGTGACATTTCACCTATACCATATTGTTTATCATTGGTTGCTAGTGCCCATACACGGTAGCGTGTTAGATTATCAGGTAATTTTATTTCAATTGAAACTCGTCCAGAGGAATCAGTAACTGACGAAGGTGTCCAACATGCAAGTGGATTGAAGTTCGACCGAACAGTTATTTTTTGCTCAGCATCGTGAGCACTTGACTTGAACTTACCGCGGCGCTTACCACCGCCACCGCCACCACCACCACCTTCGCATTCGTCTAAGTACAGACTTTCTTTTATCTCGTTCTTAAGTTGTTCTATTTTTTGTGCATCGAATAGCAAGCAACGAGTTCTACTATGAAATTGTGTAATATCTTGCGATCGATCAGGATAAAATATTTCTAACAGACTCTGTAATTTGTGATCAGTTAATGATAAGACTGCTTCATCAACAACAATTAAACAAACTTCTGCTTTTTTTGCAGGTGCATTATCTACATATTGTCTAACGTCGATATCGATATGGATGGTCGATGATGGCGTATAGATTTTATTTGGTTCATATGTATCAACCAAAACATTTAGCTTATATAAATCTCTTGATACTTCTAATGACACGGAGTGAGAAGCGATTGCTGGACGATATGGTGAATCAGTTACTTTCATTTCTCTTGGAGTTGACCCGATTAATTCAGCGTGCACCGCAAAGTTTGGTATCCAATCTTTTGATATTTTAAATTCAACAGTTGCTGAATCTTTTCCGGTTTCTATTTGAAATCCTATGGGTTGAGACACTTGACCATCGCAGTCGAGCAGAATCAAACCATTAGCAGGACTAAACGGAGCTAGAATTAATAATTCACACAGGTCTCCTGGTCGATAACTTTTTGCATTCGGAACAATTGTCAATGAGTCCATTGGAACATAACTATTTACTTCATGTTCATGTTCATCTATTTCTTGTTCTTTTTCTTTTTCTTTTTCTTCACCACCGCAGACATAATAGTTTTCATGGGAACTCATAGCTAATCGTCCTTGTTCATCTTTGATGCTGTATGATAAATTGTATCTGCCACCTAATATTAAATAGAAATTATAAGTTTTTATGGTAAAACAGCACTTTCTATATTCTATCCATGCTAACTAATCTCATATTCAAATGTAACGATAGCATGTAATTTTTGATAAACTAGATTTGGTTGTAATGAGTCAAATTTATTTATGATTTTCGAACAAAGACGACACACATCTGTCAAATTTACAAAGATCTTTCATTCTCTCAAATACTTTATGTTTACCTAATTTTGGTATATAATCAAGAATAACTGCATCTTTATTTGAGCTAACAACTGTTAATTTTTGTTCATCTGTTATTCCTTCAAATATTGTTAAACCATTTTGATCTTCTTTTTGTTCCTTGCCATGTCCAATGACTTCGCATTGAATCAAAATATTGTTAATCAAATTTCCATCAATATCTGTTACGATGACTTCTGTTTGCACCGGTTCACCTTTCTTACCATAATTTTTTACGTACCGAAATCCAACATAGTATGTACATGGATGTATGAGAAAATCTGTTCCTGTTTCTTGTGTTTGAGAATTCAAATCAGTGATAGCTGCTAATGCGCGAACAATGATTGGTCTTGGTTCTTGTTCAATCCCATGATAAATAATTTTTATTTCATGTTGCCCTTTATTGGTTGTTTTGCCTTGAAAATGCTTTGTTGGGTACGATATTTGTTTTTGAGTACGACCACCATGATAGTAAGAGAATGACTGCGCTTTGCCAAACATATAATCAGACCTATTAGCCGGTGTAAATGTTGTTGATTCAGCTTCTACTATCCATTGAACACTGGCATCACTTAGATATCCACCGGCAAATAATTTTCCTTCACAACTAATGATGACATATTGATCAACCGTTGAATGACAATAGTATGCTATTGACGATCGAACCATTGACGAGACTTTATATTCTGGTCTTCGAAATTCTTGAATTTCAAAATAATGTGTGGTTTCGCTTTTTGAATCTGATAAACGGAATTCGACGTATCCTTGACCTAATAATAACAAGAAATTGAAATCAATGAATTATTTGTTTAGAATGTGCAAACTTGTTCAACTAAGATCTTCTAAGCAATTACATATATAGGCAACTGTATTCAAACATATTTATCTGAGAATGCATTAATATTAATTTAGGTCTTCTAAAAATATATATTTCTTTCTCTGAAGATCTGAAGTGTAAATGTGAACACAGTCTAGACTAAACAGATTCAAAGCCTTACTAAAAGATGTAAAAAATAGTTGAAAATGAGAGCTGCAAAATTATTCGCATTCACCTAAGTTAACATTGTCAGGTAATGTAAACTTGATATCAAATGCTCCATAACGATTCAATTTCACTTTTGATTCTTGAAGTTGTTCACCTCGAGGATCAGAAATTATATAATCAATGACACCTTGGGTATACTTGGGTATTTTTGCTTCACCTTCCATCTTCAATAATCGAACATAACCTTTTATATGTACATCTTCTTTTGGTCTGTATAAACCACGATCATTGAATACATGCCAAATGTAAATATCATCAGTTGATTGAGAAGGGTAGATATCTACTTCCATATAGAGATCGTCACCTTTCTCTACGACTAATAATTCATTTTCTGTGTCTTCTTCTTCTTCTTCTTCTTGGTCTTCTCCTGTTCTTTTAACATCTGACTTGTGCCTTCCAATGGTACATAATCCTTGTTGATTTGTCACTTGTTTTTGGTTCAATATGGAAACAATTGCTTGATTGATGGGTGCACCAGTCATTAAATTAGTAACCAATGTAGTTAACGTACCATCCTTATCTATAATACAAAAAAAGCTGTTACAATTATCCCTATGGTAGGATGTAGTTGCGTGAGAAATGTGAATATACCACCACTCTCAGCCTTATAAAAGGGTCTTTATATGCGAATAGTTTTATGATAAAAACAAACTCGCAGTGAGAACCACCAGACAGTTTATATTAAATTTTTTAAATCAATTTCCCTACAGCTGTATTTCTTGGTTATTACTAATGTAGTCGATGGTAGAAATCGAAAATACACTTACTTGAAGAGGCAAATGTATCGACAGCTAATCGAGTACATTGTAGCCAGACTAATATAGCTCGTGTATCTACCCAATACCTATATTCACATTCCTTGTATGCTTTTTTGGTTGTTGTAATGAATATAAACAGTTGACCGACTCCAGATGATTTTGTAAGATACGTCTTCAACGGAATTCTTATCTCCTTCGGTTCATTTCGTTGACAGTTTGTCTGTATAATTTCATTTAGTAACTCTTCACCAGGTATGTTATGGTTATTTTCTATTGCTTCCTTCTGGTCTTCTTCTTTTTCTTTTTCTTCTTCTTCTTCTTCGTCGTCGTCATCGTCGCCAGAGCGTGCATTGAATCTTAGTACATTTGGCTGATAATGCTCTGGTTTGACACGATTAATTCGAATTATTAATTCTGAATAGTTACAAACTATAAACGAGTAATACGGTTCATCTAATAGGCCAGGATCCATTATAATAATACCTAAAATAAGTATTCTTTTATTGATAATATCCTTATTTGTTTTTTTTTAGTACTATATACCTGATTCACCCCTCAATGTTCCATATAATGGTGAATTTGATTCTTCTATGTGAAATTGAATTGGTTGTTCCGTAGGATCTTGTTCGAGTGTTTGGCCATAAACGTCTTTTAACATTCCTCTTTGTATAGATAATGTATAGACAGTATTTGGTTGAGAATTATTAAGTATTGTTATTCTTTTATTATCGTCGTCTGTATGTTCAATACCTAAAAGAACATTTTCTTTAATGTGGAATTTTTTTACAATCAGATTTATTTAAAAAAGAGTTTTCTCTGTGCTCACCTAAATCGCTAAGTGTCGGCTCAACTTTGAACATGGATTTTTTAATTGATGCATGATCTAAGGAATTATTAAATGTAATCGACCAACTTCGACCAGGAAAAATAGTCTGTTGGTACTGATCATTGATATTCGGAAACCAATCAATAATTTTTAAAGGTTCATAAGTACAAAAAACAGCTGACCATTCTGTTGTTGTCTTTAGTGGTCCTTCGGCTGATGGACAGTCTTGAGGTAACTGAATCGTATATTCTGTTGCCTTTAATAAATCATTTTTAAATGTAAATGCAATATATTCTTGAAGATTTCCTTCCTTATGATTTAAGTACGATTTAAATTCATTTTTTGTTGTGTCTTCGTCTAGTAGTTCTAATTCTTTGTTCTCCATTTTAACTCCATCATCACGCACTATACATATATGCTTGAAGATTTCATTGATATGAATTTTTTGATCGAATAATAGAAAACATCGAGGCTTTAATGTTGAAACTATTTCATCTGGTAAGAATTGAAGAACTTGTAATGTTTTTGTTGAGAATTCAAAGAAAAATTCACCGTCTAGCTTTCCTACAAATAATGAAAATAACAAAAATCATCAAAGTTCGTCCTTCAACATTACAAAAGTGTTTGAATGCATGGGTAGCTATTGAGAACTTCATGACACAAACTCAGAAATTATCTCGATTATAGTTGGCTATACTATCGGATGCACTTGACAACGTCTTTAGTTTTAAATGGATTTACCTCCAATTGCTGATACGCAACGAAGTTTGTCCACTGTTAATGTATACTTGGTAGAATATGGAAAACGATGCTTTGCTGTAAATTGAACTGTTTTCGTGTCTATCCATCTCCATTGACCTTGAACTTTTGGTATTAATGATATACCTAGATCTTCTGGATCCATCTGTTCATCTAATGATGAAATACTTATCATGGATTGATTAAATGTTAATGTAACAGTTGATAATGCATAATGAATTTCTTTGTTATTAGGAGAATATCTGTCAATAACTAGTTGACCTACCGGTTTTTTAGCCAACTGTTTTAGTTCTTCAATACTAATATCGAAATCTTCTTGACGATATGATTGAGGAGGTGGAAATGGCGTTTTTGTCATCGTACTTGTTTTTGGTACTCTTATGGTTTTTTTACGTTTAAAAGATTCTTGATCATTTGTTGACTCTGCGACTAATACAGAACTGGCTCGAGAGAATAATTGCTCTAATTGAATTCGAGTTAAATTCTGCTGTTGTAAATCATCATGTAGAGGTGCTTCTCCAACATCAGTCATAGTTTCACTATCTGCTTCATTGACTTCATCAATATCAAAATTAAACAAAGACGGCTCACACTGTTCATCATCGAGCCAATGCTTTAATTTCGGTCGCATTCTTTTTATGAAATCTCGCTGATATATTTGAAACATCGTATGACTTCAATACAATCTACAAAGTGATAACATAGAGCTCAATTCAAAGATTCATCTCGTTTTCAGATCTCTGAAAATGAATGTCTTTACTAGAGCACATACTAACGGGTGGGCCATAAATAATGAAGGGTTCAGTATTTCGTAAATATCTCATGAAGCTTTTACCCCTTAGACTTCGTGTTTCTTTAGAAATATTCCTCATTCAATTCTCTACAAAAAGATATGAAAAGAGTTGACAAAAAATATATACATGAAACTCTATCTAGTGAGCTCTAGCATGTTTTGAAAAGGTCCACTTTTAAACACACATTTTCACCATATTAATTTTCTTTTCTCATCTGGCTAATTAGACGTTGAAGAGGTCATGACAAATCTCAAATTATAACCAGTTTTCACTAAATATTTGACAACTGATATCTGATTTTGAGGAAGAAACCAGATATTTACTTTTGTGATAATTTCAAAATTTCTATCAGCCTCATCTGGCTAATTAGACGTTGAAGAGGTCATGACAAATCTCAAATTATAACCAGTTTTCACTAAATATTTGACAACTGATATCTGATTTTGAGGAAGAAACCAGATATTTACTTTTGTGATAATTTCAAAATTTCTATCAGCCAACGGAACAATCTAATCAAAACTTATACATATGATCTATTCGGAATAGATGGCAGTGATGCAGTATCTTATCGATGTATGTGAAATACAGATAACTTTTGATGAATATTTTAGGGTCGTAAACTAAACGAGCAAACTGGATAGTATAGTATCTTGAGGGTGTGGGTGTGGGTGTGGGTGTGGGTTTGAGAGTGTGGGTGTTGGTGTGGGTGTGGGTTTGAGAGTGTGGGTGTGGGTGTGGGTGTGGGTGTGGGTGNGTGTGACTCTGACAGAAACTCTTACTCTGACGTCCACACCCAACCACACCCACACCCACACCCACACCCACACCCACACCCACACCCAACTATGCAATCATTAAGTAGCTATGAAATCAATAAGTAGCTATAGGAAAACATTAAGTAGCTATTGGTATTTTTTTTAAAGTATCTCTTTTGAGAAGCTACGGTCTGTAAAAATCTGGTCATCTTTCGAAAAGTTATGTATGTTCTGAAAGAGAAAGCTTCGCTACATTTTTCTATGATAAAATCTCAAATTCGATATTTTTCGAAAAGTTGCGTTTCTGGCGTACTTAAAAGACGAGAAAGAAAACAAATATATGATCGATGCCTTTCTCGTTCATCTACGTCAATTTACAGAGAAGTTCGAGACAATTTGGTCGGAGCGTCTCTAATCTCATTTCGACTTGTGCTAAATTAGTTAATAAAGAGAGCCGTCTTCTCGCGAATATGGATATCATCTTTGGAAAGAAAGAGATCTTTTCAACTTGAGAAAGTTCATAATGAAAAGATCCCAGACATCTGATCGCTGGTCCTGGAGCATTGTCAAAATTGTGTCGAACGCAATCGGTAAATGCAGAGAGAGTAATGCCGTTTGAAGTTCTTCAATTGTTACACTGATATCCGCCCCAGGAGAAATCTACTCCGACGCCTTTAACGACCTTGCATCCTACAAAATGTTGCTCATCAATGGAAACTATAATACTCTTCACTCCTCAAGCTGTCAGTAATGAAGTAGTTTGATCATCAAGCTGACAGAAGAAATACGGGTGTACTTGACTCATGGTCGCTAAAGAGAGAGATTTCCTGATTATGCTCTGGTTTTTAGAGTAGGCAAACGAATAAAGTCACCGTGGAACAGTAAAGCCAATCTGATATGATATGATCTCTCTTGGTCAGTCATGCCAGTATGCTTCTTGTCTCTCTCTTCTTTCTTCCTCGTTAATGATGTGGGTCCAGTTGCAGAGCAGTCCTAGCGTGATATACATAAGTGTCATTTGTTTACTCGTTGTAATCTTTTTTGTCTGTTAGATTCTTTTCTGCAATTCTAGCCTTTCTTAAATAGAGCTAGGCGATCCTTTGGTCACTCATTGACACGGTGAGTCTGATACAATGAACAAAACACTATATTGTGTATTTTTCGATCGATAGTATAAACAAATCAATTGAGAATTTACAAGTCTAACATTGCTGAAATCGATAGCCGACTCGTCATGTTCTTAATACATAAAAAGAAACAACACTCACTGCTCATTGTAGTTATCAGGGTTGTGATTTCCGATGTCGTAGTTGTGGTAATGGTAATAGTGGATGTCATTTCGGCTAAAAGAAAATCAACATTTTGTGATTATTGATTCTTCAGAAAAGTACAATGGATCTAATTATTTTTTACTCTTTATGAATTCGAACGAGCCTGAGGTGATACATGTATGAAATCCTCTCTGACAACCAATAAAAATATTTGACCAAATACTCCGGTTATTTAACAGTTAATATGTCATGGGCAATTATGGCTCATTCTTTCAGGTTTTCGTAGAGCACCTAATTCTACATCTGTCTAGCTTATTTTAGATGCATTCGAGCTGGTTTCTGATTACTTTGCTTCCTAGTTCCATCACAAATCCCGGTCACTCTGAGAGAAAAATTGCCTTTGCATCTCTGCTTATTCACATTTGAATCGATTGCCAGTTTAAATTGGTCAAATTATTATCAGCAATCTCAACTGTGCCGGGCTAAGAAGTAGTAATAATTATCAAGGAAGAAGGGCTTTGAAGTCGACTAAACACCTTCAGGAGTGCACAATAGACAGTATAACGGAACACTTGAATTTTTCGCATGTTATGCCTGTTCGATAATTCAAATACAAGGAAAAAATGTTTATCGACTGTCTGTCAACTGTGGATAAGATCAGAAACGGGCAAACCAATTTTTCCGTGATACGCGTGACTATGACAGATAAAACTATTCAAAATATGCTGAGTCGTTTTGGATGTACGTTTTTCAGCTGCGGGGAGAAGTGTTGTAACAGTACGATCAAAAAATGAAGCCTTGTGAACATGAGAAAATATTTTACCAGGATAAGTAATCATGTTCTGAAGTGTTGGAAGACTCAATATTGCGAGATCACTGAATTGCGAGAGTGCCGTATGGTTGTTTTCTTTGTGAGACATTGTCACCAAAGTCAAATTCAAACATGTTCCACATTTGATTTTCGTCGTTGGACTATCGTTTCGAGATGAACTATACCCAACGAAACGAAATATTCTATGCAACACCTTTCGAGTACTTGACTTACCGTCGTCGCAGTAGTCGCCACAGATAAGCAGAAAGAAACATGAGTGCGATCGCGGCGACAACCGCTACTATGATGTACTTGCGTGCGACTCGTTTGTTTGATCTTAAATCACTCAATCTCGCATAATGCACGCTTTCATTTTGTTTTTTGTTGTATTTCATTCGTCAAAATCTTTCAAGATACACCGATACAAAATTCGTCGTACAACTAAAGCTACTGCACTATCGAATAACGCGAAAGCGCATATTTTATGTAAAGGTTAGATAACGCGCATCTTCTCCAAACAAAAACAATGAAACTTGATTGATAGATAAGAGTTTGATGATCGAATCAATAAGAGTAATCGTTTTCATCTCACTTGCCCACAGTTCCACACATCTACATGTTTGCTGCTAAGAGCGGTACCCTTTCTTTAATGTTCTTGTTTCTGGCTCGTTCTCTCTTGTTTTTTTCTTTCACTCTCTCTCGCTCGCCTCGCTGATATAGAAACTAGAGGGTGTGGGTGTGGCTGTGGCTGTGGTTGTAACAGTGGATTGTTGCGATTTATACAGCCACAGTCACAGCCACACCCATCTAATATCAATATATACAGAAACAAGAAATCACATAGTAACAGCATTATGAGTTACAATTTGTTTTTCTTTAGCATAATTCCTTATCAGTGTAACTACGTGGACGCTCTGGGCTATATAAATAGTTTGTACATTGCCAAGAAATATCACATTGCGGCTACAAAAAAAGTATTACAATACTTTACATATACAGTGCCACAATATAGCAATGCAGTTCCAACTTGGTATGTACAAGCTTTTAACTTTTTATTTTTATACGAGTGAATAACAGACGAATATAAGACTTTTTCAAAATTGAAATCTTTCAAAAAATCACAAATGAAACAAAACTAAATCTTATTGAATCTTGTGTTTTCTATCTTTTAGGCGTAAACTGGACTTGGGTATTGCTAAAGGTACAATTGGTATTTGGAAAAGCTGCGGTTCGATTCCGCTTGGATATTAATATTGAAATGTTATTTGTCCATCGGACTTTGATTCATCCCATACATGCATCAAGATTCTGGCTGCAAGAGCTTTTGTTACTATAGCTTGCATTCTGTCTTGTATTTCTGTAATATGCCTTGCAACATGTGCAGGCAAAGATGACAAGACACCTCGGGTTTTACTTTTAGCAACCAAATGTTTGGTTTTTGCTTGTCTTGTTACGGTAATTATTGGTGTTGCTATTGGGATCAATGCTACCGATATTAAAGAAGATGAAATCAAATCCACGTTAGGTGATGCTGCGATCATTGGAATTGTTGCAATCATTCTGAACTTTTTTGGTTCTATTGTAACAGTATTAATTAGACTATAGCTTCGATAAATGAAGGAAACAAATGCAAAGACATATCAATCAATTTATTTTTTATTGTCGCTGTAAAGTTTACTTTTACTTTCTTTTCTGATATCGTTTTCAATTTGTCAAATGAATAAAAAAACTCTCATGAAATAAAATTTGATCTCATTTTATGTTCAGGAATCATATAGAAATAAATTAATTTCTCTTGAAACGCAATCAATGAATCGAAACGTTTATCATCGTTTATGATGACAGAAAAATAGGCTTGATAAGTGCACTAATGACGCGTGCATTATAACTTGATATCGATCTTATTAAATTTCCTTTCCAATGGCAAATTAATCCTGGCTTTTCTTTTTTATGATATTAAAACTTTCTTTTATCGAATATGATCGAAAAGAAACCTACGTTAAGAATTTTCATCGTTATCAGTACTTTGAAGTGTGTGTGTATTTTAAAAGCGAAAATAATGCCTATTGCCATAAAAAACGTACCCAACTTAATGGGTGTGGGTGTGTTGTTTCTGCTGTGAGTATATTTGAGACGTGATTAGATTCATCCATCCACACCTCACACCCCCATATATGTATAACGTGTCCAATTTTAATTTTTTTAATGCAAAAAATTATTTCATGAAAGGATACATTAATAAACCCTTCCACACAAGTGTATAATAATAAGCACTTCGTCGTAGATTCACAAACCCTTCTCCTTAAATTCTGGTGCAATAAACCCTTTTTATTTTTATATACCCTTAGTTTGATATACGCTTCAGGTAAAACGGTTTTAGAGTTTCGGACAAAAATATAAACCCTTTAAGAGTTTATGAAACCTATTTTTAGTACTAGGGTTTAGTATTCTACGATTTTGTTTTAAAGTGTATATCATATTATATGCGAGGAGAATAGTATTGTGTAGCGTCATCTATTTTAGCACATATTGATAGTTACATACAAGCGAAAAGATACTATTAATCGAATAGTTGAACCTTATTCATGTATTTACTGACGTTCTTTAATGAGAATACTCAGAAATCATCACTTTCATATATAGTTATGATTACTATGCAGACTTTGATTGGATAAGACAGAACATAGAGGGAATAAATAAAGCGGTGACAACTGATGCGTATACATGTAACAGAGCTCCGCGTGAGACGGGATCGGACGAATCTTTTTATAAAATTTTAAGCAGACAAGAAAGAATCAAAGTCTCTTTCAATGTCATGCTATTATTTGCTTACTATTTTCATCTATTAAAATTATATTTATTGACGTAAGTGACCGCTTTCAAATTTCATTCTCATTTTTTAAAACATTTTCGGTATATGATGTTCAATTTACCCAAAATATTTAAGAAAAAAGAATATAAGCTTTTAAAAGTCATCTAAGACAACGATCTTAATTTTAATGGATAAAGATAGTAAGTATATCATAGAATCATATCGAAAGAGATTTTGATTCTTTCTTGTCTGCTTAAAAGTTTCTAAAAATGTTTGTCCCATCCTGTCCCATGGGACGTCCCACGCGTAGCTCTGATATGTAATACAGTATAAAACAGATTCAAAAGTATACATAATCATCGTTCATTGTAGTTCTATAGTCGTTCTTTGTCTAGGATAGAATTTGATTCTTTCCGACATACATAACCGCATTGTTAAACCTATATTTTAGATTAAAATGCAGGGGGGAAACAGCAGACTCCACTCACGCGGAGTCAAGTGGAGTCAAGTGGAGTAAAATGGAGTCAGCGGAGTCAAGTGGAGTCAAGCGGAGTCAGCGGAGTCAAGTGGAGTCAAGCGGAGTCAAGTGGAGTCTTGTAAAATTCTTGCCTATCTTCAGAAATCCATGATAGAAATTTGATTTCTTTATTTTTTATTTGTTTGTATCATCTGTATTC